TTATTCCGCAGTTAACTTTTATCTAACGATTGAAAAATCAGACCCGATTCGGATAATTCTTTTTGCTTTTGAAAGCTTTATTTTTCAGGAACGTTATAGGCTACGTATCATCACGCTATTACGTTTAGGAAGGTCAGTAGAATGATATATTATTCAACCGACTGCACTTGATATTCAGACATTATCTTCATCAGTACAATTTATTTACAAATATTTCTTTTTTAATTTTCCTTTTCGTCGCAATCCGTGAGATGATCGTCACATAACGGTACACTTAACTGTTTCCATTCTAATTTTAACCTTATTGCTTTCATGTAATAGATCTTTACCTATAAAATTGCCGTTTTGCATGAAAAAATTTAAACGAATTTTTTGATTTGAACTGCGATGAAAATGTAACACTAATCAATAAACAAATGACTACTTTTGGAAAAAAAATCCAATTTTTTAAAAAAAGTTAATTAGCCTTAGCCTTACAAAAACTATTTTGATTTGAAATGGCCAGACCTACTGCAGAACGGCAATTTCATAGGTAAAGACCTATTATAAATTGAAATACGGTAGTTTCCAACTAGTCAAATTCAATACTTTTATCCAAATGTCAAACACTATACTTTTCTATGAAATTTGTATGAAACTCGCAATTATGACGTCATAGTATTTTAGCGTCAAATAGCTTACTTATTTCTTAAATATTAGCTAAAAAGATTGAAAATTTAATGTATCAACAGCTCGATGAATGAATAGAAAAGTATAGTTATTTTTCAATACTTTATATTGTATTGAAACGTCGAATTAATTTATTTTTGACCTAGGACACTACCCAATTCTCTTACTTTTTTCAGCGTAGCATTTTCATGAATGGTTTACAGTTAAGAATACTTTCATGTGTCGCCATCCATATATTAAGTATAAGCATTGATTTATCAATTCCAAACAAAATAATATATGTATCAATCGATTTTGAACTCTATTGTACTAAGTATTAATAATCTTTAGTAGTCTGTCGACGTTTTTTTTTAAAGCAATAGAAATCAAAATCCATTGACAAAATACTTAAAAAGACGATACAGTGATCATAGTAAGGACTATCTTGGACAAAGACAGAGGGCGCTAGTGATAGCTAAGGTCTATTATCCCAAATAAATAATTTACTATGGAGAGTAACAGCGATCTATCAGACATGCCCAAAACCTTCGCTAGCGCCATCTAGCTTCAGTAGAGGACAGACCGAAAGACACACAAACTTTTTGATATTAATTTTTTTATTTGACGTTCAAAAGTGCCTCTGTCGTGGTCTATTTGGAATAAATGATTTTGACTTTGGACTAGTTGACATAGACTCGTTGAGAAATCTCAATACTAGGCAAGTTCGTGTTACTTTGCCACTCGGGGGTAACTTTGATCTAACCCTTTAACCAATAATAACCAAGATCCAAACGTATATTCAGCCGATTGCGGGGTAAGCGCAATGAGTCAGAATCGGTTTAGAGGAGGAGAAGGAACTGTATTAGTCATTAAGAGTCTATCACTCCCTCCCAACCCTGGGCGGGAGAACTGATTTGATGATTTTTCCCCTACAAAAAATGACCAAACGTTATATTTTATTCGTTTTTCGGAAATTTGGATCAAAGTTACTTTCCAGTGTCAAAGTAACCCGAACTTTTAAGAGTTTTATAAAAGCTACATAAATCCAACAAACATGCCCAAAACCTTCACTAGCGCCATCTAGTTGACTAAAACGATAGTCCTTCGTAACAGACTCGTTTAGAAGTCTTAATAACAAGTCATTTTCGAATTCATTACACAATTCGAGAATATCATTTTTATTTAAATATGAAACAAAGTATTATTTTTGTATAAGTTATTTTATTACATGACAATTTGAGATAATAAGTTGGAAGGATCAAATATCTTTACTATGGTACGGACCGACAGATAGACTCTAGCGGCCTTATTACAAAACAAGGTTTTACTTTAGTCTAGGACTAAACCATTGAGCTAGTTTTTGCATTTCGAATTGAAGGTAGATGACAATAAGATTCAAAATTCGAAACCCGACTCAATGGTTTAAACCTGGACTAAAGATAAATCTTGTTTTGTAATAAGGGGGTAGATCTTTATGGAATAGGAGGCAAACGAGCGGACGGATCACCTGATGGTAAGCGATCAGCGCCGCCCATGGACACCTGAAACACCAGAGGAGTAAAGGCGCGTCGCCGGCCTTTTAAGAAAGAGTACGCACGTTTCTTGATGGCTTGCAAGTCGTATCGGTTGGGAAATCTATGCTAATATAATAAAGCTGAGTTTTTTGTTTGTTTGAACGCACTAATCTCTGGAACTACTAATTCGAATTGTACAATTCTTTTAGTGTTTGTTAGTCCATTTATCGAGGAAAGCTATAGGCTATAAAACAACACGCTACGATCTTTAAGAGCTGAGCAGCGGGTGAAACCGCGTGAGAGTAGCTAGTATCTGATAATTCCTTTGAATATTTGACTTTTAAATCCCTAACAATTATAAACTACTAGTAAACCATTAACAACAAAAAATCTATATAACAAAAATAATACTTAATTTCATTTCCATATATCAAGAAAAGGATAGAGCATTCACATTTGCATAGCGCTATCTCTGTCACTCAAGTGACGTCATAGGCGAGCGAGATAGCACTATAGTAACCTCTCAATTATTTTCTAACGCGTTGTCTTGTTTGATGTCAAAGGATTATTGTTAAAATTATTTATTTGTAGTTTGAATACAAGATTTTAAGTTTATAGGGATACTAAACATTTTTATTATAACTTTCGTGAGACATTCTAAATTAATTATTATGTTTTCGGCTTACTCACGTAATAATTTGACGAGAGCGTCGCGTGTCGCGGAATGCTGCTCATGAATATGGGCCTCTAGCATGGCTTGAAACTAGTCGAGAATCTCGTCAAATTATTACGTGAGTAAGCCGAAAATATAATAATTAATACTAAATATTGTCGACATATCGAAGGTCAAGTACCATTACCTCTCAACTAATATTTTTCTACTCACTTTGTTTTAATTTTAATTGTAAAGCTTAAAATATTTAGGTAATTAACTAAGGGCTGATTATTCAATAGTCAGATAAATGTTATCTGAGGAATAAAATTGTTGCTGTCACTGTCTTATACAAACATTCTGACGCGACAGCATCATAATTATTCCCCAGGTAACTTTTATCTAACCATTGAAAAATCAGTCCTAAATGTAATATAATCTTGGCATATCTTTTTATCTTCAACTTGTCTAAAAATTGTATGGTAGAAAAAAAGAATTACAATTAGGTATTTACCTACATCGATGTTAGCTAATAATCTAAATTTAAATAATCTTTGTATGTGTTTTATACGACCTCTTTCATATAAAAAGACATACCATTGTTTACCTTTAGTTAACCACCTAGACCAGAGATCTTTGTAATTAGAATTTAGCGGCAAAACGGGTACTTAAAATTAATATTCTACCCTTAACGAGTCCAAAAAAGTTGATTATAATCGATACTAATATATAATATTAAGAGAAAGAGGTAAAATTTGTAAGTTTGTATGTAGGGGGTAATCTTTGGAACCGCTGGTCGGATTGTTTCACTGATAGATAGCTACAATGTTCTTAAGGGCTATAAGGTTATAAAACATCACGCTACGATCAAATGGAGCCGAGCAGCGGGTGGAACCGCGTGAGAGTAGCTAGTATTTAGTAAAATTATAATAACAACAATCCTTAGACATCATTCATAACATTTTTGGCCATTTATTTAAAACTTTTGTAGTACAAATAATATAACTTTGCTAATTAGTGTGTGAGAGAGAGCGTATAGTTACTCTTTTGCTCTTAATACAAAAACTTCAAAGTACGTGTGTCACTGGTCAATGAACCTCGCTACCATCAGTTGACTGGACAATCTCTACACTACATGAGTCGCTGTTTACATGTCAACATTAGCTCATGACAGATAGCAAAGCTTATATTATTTGAACTATAAAACATATGGGGTCTTATTAATCGAAAATCTTGTTTATAATTTTTATAAAAAACAAATTTTAATAAGATAAATATTTAACATAAAAAAAGGATGTTGACAACTAAAAAAATACATTAAAATGATTTTCGAAATATTAAAAAAAACGGACAATCAGTGTTTTGTTAGACATTTTTATTTCTCATAACACAAGCAAAAGAGAGATGCAATTTTTTAAAACATAAAAAAAACGTATCTGTTCAACAGGATAGCCCGTCTACTTTCAAGCCACATTAAGGGCTCATAACACACAACTTTTAAGCCTCAAAAACCGAAGGTACATTTTTGATAATATTTCGAAAAATCACAACGGTACGGTACATACATACATAATTACAATATTATAAGACAAATAATAAAATTAATAGATACTATATAAAAACCCAAGTTTGCTAATAGGCGATCAACTAAACGAACCAAACCAAACAAAAGTCTATCGGTTCAGGACACCCGGTTTCCAAAAGTCAGATCAATGTTAAAATCAATTGAATCTCTTGTCAAGTCATCTGATTGGTTGACTGAATTATCAACAACCAATCAGATGACTTGACAAGAGATTTAACAGGAGATTAGTTAATTTGACAAGCCTTTCAGAAACCGGGTTTAAATTTAAACAATCTTGACGTATCTTTTTATATAAAAATCGTATGTAAAAAAGTTTCCAATCAGATATTTCACCTGAATCGATATTATTAACTAATAAACTAAATTTAAATAATGTTTATACGTATTTTATATAAAAAGACATATCGAGATTGTTGACCTTTAGTTACCCACCGATAGACAGTAGCTGGTCATAAAAAAACTATCCAAAAAGGTCCTTTTAATCAGTAAGAAACCATCGTTAGAACTAATATGGATACACCATGAGATCATTGTTGAGTTGTGACAACAAACTTGGGCTGTTTCAAGACAAAAATCCACAGAAACTTACTCAGCTTTTTAATGGTGTTACATTTTACTTTCCAGAGTTTAACTTCTCATTTTAATAAGTTCGTAAAGTCCTTAGCTCGGTCGTCATGGTAACAGTTTTATTTTTCCTTGTTGCAACGTCAGTCACTCGAAGCCGCGGGCGACGCCGCATCATAAAATAAGTCTTTATTGTTTTGTCCTTACATAAAATACTGTGGACAAGAGATAAAAAAAAATATATAATAATGTTGCCTCGGTAAGAGGATGTGAAAACGACAAATGAGGTTTTATTGAAAAGTGAAGCAGAAATGTTGTTAGGTTGGCTTGACCGGAGTGATACTTCTGGGAACAGAGAATGTGTAAGGGCCACCCAGAGGATAGGATGGATCATACGCTGGCGGTATGCCCTGCCTGGGCTGAGCACCGCCGTGTCTTCAGAGAAGTGAGTGGTGGAGGCGACATCTCGCGCCCGGCCTTAGTCGAGGCGAGGCCATGGTGCGGAGAGAGAGGAACTGGGAAGCCGTCTCTTCTTTCTGTGAAGCAGTTATGCTCGCAAAGAAGTAGGCGGACAGTGTGAGGGAGCTTTCGCACCTCACACCCCAGCCGTAGCAGGAAACGACACTCCAAGCGTCGGGATTCGAGAGACGATCTTTAAGCGCGGATCTGCAGACGGCGAGTAAGGGCAGCTCGCCGTCCGACCAGAACCAGACCAGAGCGTACGGTGCGTAGCGTTCCGCGCGCGCCTCAAAGAGCCAATAGACCGCCACAGTCGGGGCCCTATAGGGCTGATGTTCAGCCGGGGTTGCGGGGTAAGTGCAAAAAGGCCTCGGCTTAGAGCAGAAAAAATCGAAAGAGGGAGTGTCAGACTCTTACTAACTCAAAACCACTGTTCCTTTTCCTTCTCTTGGTCGAGAACGCTAAGCGGTAATTATTAAGTGAGCCAAATATTTCTGAATAGTTTGGTATTACGAGAGAGTCCATGGGCAACGCTGATTGCTTACCATCAGGTAATATGTATGCTCGCTTACCGACCTATTACTTAAAATAATGTTACGTTACGTAGAAAATAATACCACATAGAATACTTAAAATGTCGTGGTAGCCTGGAGGTGGGTTCGAAACCAGGCAAGTACCAATATGACTTTTTCCGAGTTATATGTACTTTCTATGATTATTTAGACACCACTGACATACGGTGAAGGTAAACATTGTTAGGAAACCTGGACTTATAATTTCTTATTATAAGTTCTCCATATGAGAAGAGGGCTTTGCTTAGCAGTGGGCATTTACAGGCTGATGATGATGATGATGAGAACACTTAATTCGTACCCCTCGACTTAATATGATCAAAATTTATTTTATAGAATTTTATTTATACATACCTAGTCGTACAAATCATGGTCCCGGTCTCTGTCGAGGTCTGGGGAGCGCGCTCGGGGCGGCGGCGCGTGATGCGCAGGGGGCGAAGCCCCGCCGTAGTTCAGGAAGTCCCAAACTAATATCGTGTCATCGTGCGATGATGACACTATCTGGAACTCGTCAAACTGGAGGCGGAAGACGCGGCCTGTGTGCTCCTGGGTGATTGAAATAAAAGTTTAAGTAATATAAAATGAAAAACATTTTATTATTGTGGTTTGTTACAATGACGTTGGGTAATTTGGACTGCACGGTTGGTGCGGTGGCTGGGCAACTGGCTGCCGTGCAACGTGTCGCGGGTTCCCACACGGAACAACTCTTTGCGTGATCCACAAATTGTTGTGTCGGGTCTGGGTGTCATGTGCATGTGAAATTGTATGTTTGTAACCGCACCCACAACACAAGAGAAAATCCTAATGTAGGGCAACGTTTTTTTATAAATATAAAAAAATAATAATTTTGTAGCCATTATAAAGAGGTTAAATTTGTTAGTTTGTATGTAATAATTGAAACCTCTAGTCGGAGTTCCAAAATTCTTTCAGCTACAATGTTCCTGAATACTATGGGCTATAAATTATACTATTGATTTGCGTATTTAGTCCAATTGGGTAGTTTCCTAGGTCAAAAATAAATTAATTCGACGTTTCAATACAATAAAATATCGAAAAATAACTACTTCATCGATCGATTGATACACTAAATTTTAGATAAAAGTATTGAATTTGACTAGTTGGAAACTACCGTATTATAAACGCTTTAACTGGAAACTACCGTTTTTAAAATCACGTTATACATACATGATACATGTCTCATTAAACTAGATAGAATTTATATTTAAATTATTATTTTTATTGGATATGATGAAAATTATAATTAGAAATGTCATTAAGTATCTTACAAACAATATAGTCTAATAAATTTTAAAGGTAGTAAATAAAATAAAATGTCACAACAAATCCGGGTGTCAGGTAAGTCAATTCAAAAATTATTTTAGTCAAACTTAACATGAATGTAACTGATTAGGACAATGACATTATGCTCTAAAAAGCTGCATACCTACAGGTGCTGTTACACTGGTAGAATAACACCCAGTTTCTGAAAGGCTTGTCAACGCTAAAATTAACTAATCTCCTGTTAAATCTCTTGTCAAGTCATCTGATTGGTTGTTGATAATTCAGTCAACCAATCAGATGACTTGACAAGATTAAATTGATTTAAACATTGATCGGCTTTTCGGAAACCGGGTGTCAGTGCCTGAAAGGGTCTAATTAAAATAAATAATTTTGACAATAATACCTGTTTCCAGTAACTATACCTATTATAGCAAAAAATAAACGGCAGTATACTTACAACGAGCGTCCGGAGACAGAGTTCCTGGTGGGGCGTGCGTACGTCGAGCGCGGCGGGGAGGTCCCACACCTTAATCTTACCATCGTACGCGCCGCTCACTATGCGTTTGTTGTCGAAACTGGAATGAAAATATTTATTTACATAGCTGATTTATACTAATATTATAAAGAGAAGATGTGCCTTTGTACCTAATTGTTGTATTATTTTTCTTGTGCAACTTACTGTGTGTACAAAAATTAGTAAATAAATAAAAGAGGTAAGTTTGTATGTAGGGGGTAATCATTGGAACAGCTGGTCGGATTTCCAAAATTCTTTCACTGATAGATAGCTACAATGTTCCTCAGTGCTATAGGATATAAAACATCACGCTACAATAAAATGGAGCCGAGCAGCGTGTGAAACCGCGCGAGAGTAGCTAGTATACTATAAATTATTTATCAATGGGGTGTGAGAAATATGCAGTCACCGATTCTCAGACGATAGTCGTACGATAGTCGCCCTTGTGAATGTTTGAGTATAATTTAAATAAAATAAAAAAATACCTGCGAAAATAAATGTCAAGAATGACCGATAAATGACTCCAGAAAGTCACAAGAATGGCCCCATATAATCCCCACCCAACTAGTCACAAAGGATGACCCAAACTAGCCACGTGACCCCAGCTAAACACAAGCACGACCCCAAATGGTCCCAAAGTATTACCCCAACTAGTCACAAAATATGACCCCAACTAGTCACAAGCACGACCCCAACTAGACACAAATTATGACCCCAACTAGTCACAAGCACGACCCCAACTAGACACAAATTATGACCCCAACTAGTCACAAGCACGACCCCAACTAGACACAAATTATGACCCCAACTAGTCACAAGCACGACCCCAACTAGTCACAAAGCATAACCCCAACTAGTCACAAAAATGACTACAACAGACCCAACACTTACCGTATACACCTGACCAACTCTTCATGTCCCTCGAGCACTCGTATGCACTGTCCGCACTCGATATCCCACAGCCGGATGGTATTGTCCGAGGATCCTGAGACGACGAGCCTGTCCCTGTATTGCAGACAGGCGATACCACGCTTGTGGCCGTTTAGCGTGCGGACGAATTCACATGACGACGTATTCCATACCTTTGGGAGAAGAAATTAAGATTCTTTTTACAATATATTTGTGTTTTTAGTGTAAAACGAACTGATGTTGGACTTAATAACAACACACCATTAGAAGAAAGTGAAAATGCAACGTCCAATGTTAATATTTAAGCGTTTCGCTTCATCGTTTATACCACGCACATGTACAGATTGGAATAGCTTGCCTGCAAGGATCTTCCCGTCCAGTGATGATATAGGTGTCTTCAAGGCTGGAGTGAATAGGCTCTTAATAAACTAGTACGCCTTACCATCAACGACTGCATCACTGCTTACCATCAGGTGGGATTCATGCACTAGTTTATACGATTAAGGGCTGATCTTTCAATGGTTATATAAAAGTTATTTAGGAAATAATTATGATGCTGTCGCGTCAGAATGTTTGTATAAGACAGTGACAGCAACAATTTTATTCCTCAGATAACATTTATCTGACTATTGAAAAATCTGCTCTAAAAAAAGTACAGAAGTAATAGCAAACATGGATACTATTTTTGTTAATTTTTGTTACACGCCATGTCTTGCGTCGCTTACATTTCTCCTATCGAAGGATTGCAAGAAAATATTCTAAAAGAATATGCAGCATGACCATACTGACTTCATGATCATCAGCCAATAAGTGCCCACTGCTGATCAAAGGCCTCTTCTCATACGGAGAAGGTTAGAGTATTAACCAACACGCTTGCTCAATGCGGGTTGGCGATTTCAAACTTATAATTAGTTCAGGTTTCCTCACGATGTTTTCCTTCACCGTATGTCAGTGGTGTCTAAATTATCATACAATGTACAAATAACTCAGCAAAAGTAACATTGGAACTTGTTTCGAAACCCACTTGTATGAGAAGCGGGCGCCTTAACCTCTGGGCCACCACGACCTATAGTCAGAATTTTAATTCGATTCTAGATTTGACATTAACCACTGTCATTTTGTGAAATAATGATACCACATATAACAGTGTAGCGGTGAACACAAAAATCGATAAACTATTAGTGAATTAGTTACAGGAAGGCATTCAAAAAATTACGGCTACCGAATGGTCTAAATGCGTATCCCATGTTGTCAAAGAAGAGGAAAAAATGAGTAAGCTCGATATGTTAATTGACAATAAATATCACAGACACAATTCATAAAAGTAACAGCGATAGCGATAACCGCGATAATTTATAAAATAAATTATTACTATAATAGATCACATTTTTTATTAATTTCACACACAATTATAAAAGAAAAGTTAATTAATTGTCAAAACTAAATTATCGGTTCAGAAATATTTAATTTCCTAATAAACTTAGTTTACGAGAGTAAATTTATAAACGAGAGGAATCGATTCAGAAATATTCGATTTCCAATATCAAATAATTTCGCAACGTCACTATTTATTACGTGTCATGACGTTGCAACACTGAAATTGTCAAAACTGGAATGGAATTAAAATTCCGAGTATAGATACCCATACTGACTTAATACTACCCTATTCCTTGCCTTTATATTAATGCCTTCCTTTCCTTCCTCTAATAGCATTTTAAAGATACTGCACGGTTGGTGCGGTGGCTGGGCAACTGGCTGCCGTGCGACGTGTCGCGGGTTCGATTCCCGCACGGAACAACACTTTGTGTGATCCACAAATTGTTGTTTCGGGTCTGGGTGTCATGTGTATGTGAATTACAAATTCACATGTTTGTAAACGCACCCACGACACAGGAGAAAATCCTAGTGTGGGGCAAAGTTTTTTTTTTTCAAAAAAAAAAAAAGATTTGAAAATCTTCATGAAAAACTCACCTTAATAGTTCGATCGCCACTAGCACTAACTATGTATTTTTCATCAAAATCTACAACATTGACGGCGGCGCGATGGCCGACTAGAACTCTCCGTAACATTATCTCTGTCGTCGAGGTCATGTCCCATACAGCTATCGAGCGATCCTGAAAACAAATATTAAATAGAGTTTAATAAGGGACAAAGAAAAGTAAGAGAATACTTTTTGTACCATAATTGCGTGTACACTGCCTCATAGTTTAGGGAGTCAGGAAGGACTCACTATTTTTAATAACAAAATTGTACCTTCTTTACTTAAAATTATACAGGGTGTAAAAAGACACTTAACGAAGCCGTTAACTACGCATACTGCAGTTCTAAGTAGCTTTACGCTAAAATTATCACTGGGAAAAGAATTTTATTTTTAGGTATCAAAAAAAAAAAACATAATTTTATTGCGCGCAATGTAAAGCAAACTGGCTTCGTGTCATTGTGTGCGTAGGTTCACAGCTTAGCATTAAAACGCTGTGATAAGTACGAAGGTCGACGTTTTATTTCGCAACAACAAAACAATTCTGTAAAATAAAAATCCTACTGAGATGCACAATGTTTTTTGTGCGGGTCTGCATTTATTTATTACAATAATGTACATTACTGTTCGTAACTTCAAATGCGTAATTTATTTAGAAAAATCGAAAGAACAGGTAATGTTTGTTTGGAAAAAAGTTTTGAAATAATACATAGAATTTGATTGCGCAAAAAAATAATAATTTAATAATGCATCTTTGACCTTCAATATCTCGAGAACTAGTGGAGTCCCAGCTATGGTCTTAAAGAAAAAAATGATCCAAATAATGGGTAGAATACGTGGCTTTCGGCTTCGTTAAGTATCTTTTTACACCCTGTATATGTCAAAGTTATGTTTTTTGGTCAATTAACCATTTATTTATATTTTATCCAACTCTCTCGCTTATCTCGTCCTGGATACAGCGAGAGACTCCGTCAGACTCTTACTGACTAAAATCCACGTTCCTTCTCCTGCTCCAGGTCGAGGCCACATATAGGGACAAAATAACAATACCCGCACTTAACACTACAATACTATCTCAATACTTATCTCCATAAAACACGACCCCATAATTTTTAACCCCCGACGCAAAAAGAGGGGTGTTATAAGTTTGACGTGTCTGTCTGTGGCACCACAGCTCCTGAACGAATGAACCGATTTCAATTTAGTTTATTTTTGTATTTTAGGTGTTTTACGGGCGAGTGTTCTTAGACATGTTTGATTAAAATCGATTGAGCCTTTTAAAAGTTATGGGGGTTAAAGTGTCTGCAAATATGCTCAAGTGGGGTATCAAATGTAAGGTTATGACTTGTACGTTACAAAAAACAAAATCTTTAATAAGTTTGACGTATCTGTTTTTTTACTTTTTAAAGGTAGCTTATGTTTTTATGTCGGGGTTTTTTTAAATTAATATATTTTTACCTGCATGGCCCGTGTGGGAGAGTGCCGAACTTACTGACTAAAAAAACCATCCTGCTCTTACTCTTTCTTGGGAGAGCCATGCTGCGGCATGAATAGGTCGGCTCGACCGGAGTGATACTACGGCCTCACAGAAAACCGGCGTGAAATAACCAAAGAGTTATGTTTCGCCTTGTGAGTGAAGTTACCGGAGGCCCAATCCTTCCCCTACCCCAATCCGTTCCCTTTCCCAAAATCTCCAAATCTCTAATCCGCAAAAGGTCGAGAACGCACTCGTAACTCCTCCGTGTCCATGGGCGACGCTGATTGCTTACCATCAGGTAATCCGTTAGCTCGTTTGCCGACCTATTACATAAAAAATAAACATAAGACCCCAATCTATGATCCGAAACTCACCTTACTACATGTGACCATCATCCCGTTACAGAATCTCAGATGAAGTACAGCCTCGCAGTGGTGGATGAGAGTATTTAACATGGCGCCCGTGTTCACATCCCAAACTCTGACCGTGCTGTCTGATGACCCTGATATGATTGCTCTCTCGTCATATTGCAAACAGAGAACTGAACCTGTATGGCCTTGAAGTTCCTGTAATTGAAAAATCATCAAATCAGTCAAATCCAATACTTTTATCCAAACGTCAAAAACGATACTTTTCTATGAAATTTTGTATGAAAAACTGAGCTATGACGTCATAACATTTTTGCGTCAAATAGTTTACTTATTTCATAATAATTAGCTAAAAAAAAACAAAAACGTAGTATATCGATCGATCGATGAATAAAAGTATAGTTATTTTTCAATAATTTATTTATTTTTGACCTTTGAAACTACCCAGTAAGCGTTTTGTCTTTTTTTTCTATTTATAAATACTTTCTAAGTTTATTAAGACGTCACAATCAAACATTGACTAAAAACTTGTAAAAAAGGGTGATCATTAATGTTTATTCCTTCTCCGTGTAAGAAGAGGCCTATGCTCAGCAATGGGCACTTATAGGCTGCACTTATGTGTGAAAAGATGCTACTAGAATATACATATACCTATCTATTAATATAAGTATATACATATTTAGTAGTATAATTGATAAATAAATACCTATCACATACATATACTAATATTATAAAGAGGTAAAATTTGTAAGTTTGTATGTAGAGGGTAATCGTTGAAACCGCTGGTCGGATTTCCAAAATTCTTTCACTGATAAATAGCTACAATGTTCCTGGAGTGCTATAGGCTATAAAACATCACGCTACGATCAAATGGAGCCGAGCGGCGAGTGAAAGCACGTGACAGTAGCTAGTAATTTATAAAAATATAGTACTCACCCTGACACACTGCAATGATTTCCTATCCCATATCTTAATAGTATTATCTCTTAGACCCGACACTATTTTATTATCGTCGTATTGCAAACAGTAAACGCCTTTTGAATTTTCTGATCTGCAGTTTATCCTCTGTGGAAAGAAAAAGGAATATTAGTTTAAGTGTGGGAGAGCCATGCTTCGGCACGAATGGGTCGGCTCGACCGGAGTGATACCACGGCCTCACAGAAGACCAGCGTGAAACAACTACAGCGTTGTGTTTCGCCGTGTGAGTGAGGTTACCGGAGACCCAATCCTTCCCCGCCCCCAATCCCTCCTCAATCCCTAAATCTCCAAATCCCTAAAAGGTCGGCAACGCACTCGTAAATCCTCCGTTGCGGGTGTCAATGGGCGGCGCTGATTGCTTACCATCAGGTAATCGGTCTGCTCGTTTGCCGACCTATTACATAAGTTATTTACTTTGATCAATACCAAAGTGTGGGAGAGCCATGCTTCGGTACGAATAAGCGATACTACGGTCTCACAAAAAACCAGCTCGACGCATCATTTACGTTGTGTTTCGCCGTGTGAGTGAGGTTATCGGTAACCCAATCCTACCCCATCTTCAAATGTATAACACACAAATACACTATTTAATACGTGTCATAACGTTGCAACACTGAAATTGTCAAATCTGGAATGGAATTAAAAGTCCGAGTATAGAATAAGTAATACAATTTTCAATACAAACCTGCAAATTGTGTTTTCCCATTCTCCAATTGTCTTCTATAGACTGTATATCTTTTATAATCTTCGGATACTGTTGTCTGTAGAAGGAGTGAGACGGATGCTGGCTACCTGGTTTCGGCTTGAATAGGTATTGAATCCTACGGTACACAAAGAAACGGAGAAATGTAAAAAGATCTAAAGCGAAACACCTTATTTTTTACACCACTGCGTATCGCGTGTAGACGCGACGCCCACGCTAATCTATACTAATATTATAAAGAGGTAAAATTTGTAAGTTTGTATGTAGGGGGTAATCTTTGGAACCGCTGGTCGGATTGCCAAAATTCTTTCACTGACAGATAGCTACAAGGTTCTCGAGTGCTATAGACTATAAAACATCACGCTACGATTAAATGGAGCCGAGCAGGGGGTGAAACCGCGCGAGAGTAGCTAATCATGAATAAAAGTCCCGTTATGACATGTAACTAGTCGAGATTTTCTCAGTTAATTGATAAATTCAAACTTTAAATTTGAAAGATAGGAACCAGTCGGCTATTTTTCACATTTAAAAAGTAATTACCATTTCTAACGTGGTAACTTAAGATACAATAGAAGAACAATACGGCGAACGCCGGCGTTCACTTAGGGTTTGATGAATTAAGTTGAAATGTTACTGTAGGCAGTCTAGTAAGCGACACTAGCGAGACCACACAACTGGTTTTGAATGGCTTATTATCGTTTTCAGAATACAACCTCTCCTCTAACTGTTCCTTACATGACAAGCCACTCTTCAACTCAAATTTTAAAGAAAAACTCACCATCCTCTTCGTTCCGCGAGCCCTCTCCAAAGCGAGTCGGTGCGAACTTTCCTCTCTATCAGTTTCTTCCACAGCATACCTTCCGAGATGACCCTCAGCCACTCTCTGCAGACCAGCTCGGCGGCACATAGTGAACTGGCGTCTAAGTAGGATAAGATATTCTCCGCTACGTGGTCGAGACCTTTTTCTGTGGACAAATTGTAAAGTTTCATAGATATTAATTTAATTTAAGTGTGGGAGAGCCATGCTTCGGCACGAAAGGGGTCGACTCTACCGGAGTGATACCACGGCCTCACAGAAAACCGGCGTGAAACAACTACAGTGTTGTGTTTCGCTGTGTGAGTGAAGTTACCGGAGGCCCAATCCTTCCCCTCCCCCAATCCCTGCTCAATCCCTAAATTTCCAAATTCCTAATCCCTAAAAGGTCGGCAACGCACTCGTAGCTTCTCCGTTGCGAGTGTCCATGGGCGGCGCTGATTGCTTACCATCAGGTAATCCGTCTGCTCGTTTACCGATCTAATACAAAAAAAAAATTACACATTCAGTGCTACCGATTGGCCCACAGTCCATGTAAATTCAATTCTAGCACCGTGGACTCGATGGGCGTAAAATGGGCGTAAAATGTACGAGAACCGCAGGCATCCAAGATATCATTGTGAAAATCGTGGTGGTAATGGAAGTATTGTTAAGTCGCAAGGAGCCACTAGACGCAGATCGCTTCCAACCGGCTGATGGAAAGCCAGCTTTCAACATGGGACTTGTGATTAATACAGAGGAGGTACGAGTGCGTTGCCGAGCTAATGGGGATTTAGGATTTTGAAATTGTGGTAATTGAGGAAGCATAGGTCTCCGATAACCTCACTCACACAGCGAAACAGAACGCTGTGGTTGTTTCTCGTCGGTTTTCTGTAAGGGCGCGGTATAACTTCTGTCAGCCGACCCATTCGTCGGTACGAATGGGTCGGCTGACAGAAGAAGCATGACTCTCACACACTTCCGAAATTTTTCAAGGTTCTTGGAAGTCTGTAGCCAATTTTTTTTTATGTAATAGCTCGGCAAACGAGCAGACCGATTACCTAATGGTAAGCAATCAGCGCCGTCCATGGACACTCGCAACGGAGGAGTTACGAGTGCGTTGCCGACCTTTTAGGGATTAGGAATTTGAAGATTTAGGGATTGGGGAAGGGGAGGATTGGGCCTCCAAACTAGAAAACCTAAACCAGTTACAAACTACAAAGTCACTTCATATCAAATTCTATCATAAACATCGATATAACAAGCCTACCTATCTCGAATAACCTTGACTAACAATACATTTGCGGTCTCCTAAAAAATTTCCTTCCAGCATTGAAATTCAGATAACCAAGTGGGAACATAACAATTTGAAATTCAAAATCTACCAAGTGATTTATTTAAATTGAATACTTTAATACGAACGCCGTAGGAACAGAGACGAAAAGAATAAAACTAATTTGTTAAACTTGAAGAGAAATATTTGCACGTAATTTTCTGAAAGGCTTACTTAAAATGCCTGAAATAGATAGCTTTTAGCCATAAGGCATACGGACTCATTTTTCATCATCATATAGGCCATAAAAAATGAGGGGTGTTTAAAAAAACATTCTAAGACTTCTCCTTCTCCCGCCTTGGGGCGCAAAGGAGAAGGAGAAAGAAGTCCACAGTTTCACGCACACAACCACAACACAGCGTTACGTTTCGCCGGTTTTCTGTGAGGCCGTGATATCACTCCGGTAACTCGTGTCAAAGCATGGGTCACTCCATGTTCATCAAAATGTGTTTTACCGTTTTCTTGTTAAGTCAATGTCATTTGACTTTACGCCTAAAGGCACTTTTGAATGTCTAATAATAAAACTACGACTACGACAAAAACCGACGCTGAAAAAGTATAAAACAAGATTTTCAGAATAATGAAAGGCATAGTCACACGTTATCAAAGTGCAGGTATGGTAAGTAAATGTAACGAGTTTTTTTTACTCTGGTTGTTTTGTCCGCTAGAGGACGCCACATTGGATTTTGTGACACATCATATAGCCTATAACCAGGGGACAATGAAGACGTTTCTAAAGATATGTCATATGTCGAATTCTGCTAAGTAGTTTAGAAGTTAGGAGGGAACAGATGAACATACATACATACATAGCCTGTCAAAATCATAACCCTCCTTTTGCTTAACAAAAAGAATAAATACCAAAAAGTTAAGCTTTCGGTTAAGGTTATTTCGAATCTGTTCGGAAAAGTTACTTACTCGGCAGCATACTGATGAAGTCTCTCTGTAGCATAGGCTTTAGGAAGGCATTGATATGGCCGTGCTGATAGTGACACATCCGCGCTAGTAGCTGCTCCACGAATTCCACCTGAGAAAAAAAAGAAATTTAATTGTGAGATTTTTTTTTTTTTATTAAAAACGTTGCCCCACACTAGGATTTTCTCCTGTGTCGTGGGTGCGGTTACAAACATACAATTTCACATACACATGAAACCCAGACCCGGAACAACAATTAGTGGATCACACAAAGAGTTGTTCCGTGCGGGAATCGAACCCGCGACACGTTGCACGGCTGCCAGTTGCCCAGCCACCGCACCAACCGTGCAGTCAAGTCGTATGTATAATGAATGACTATCGGAAGGAGCGGATCACAATTCTACAAAATAATGCTAAATGTATTTAGTTACATTTTTACAACACACACAATTATTTAGCCACAATTCAAAAAATACAAAGAATTAAGTCAAGCAATGTCATCGGAGTTAAGTCGGGAATTGAATCGAGTTCTCGACGCGATACGCACTAGTCACTGCACAAAACATGCAGACAATAAAATAAACAGGAATGTTGAAATTCCGTGACATGAAGAAATGTTCGACACGAATGGGTGGGCTCGACCGGAGTGCTACCACGGCCTCACAGAAAACCGGCGTGAAACAACCACAACGTTGTGTCTTGCCGTGTGAGTGAGGAGGCCCAATCCTTCCCCTCTCCCAATCCCTCCGCAATCCCTAAATCTCCAAATCCCTAATCGCTAAAAGGTCGGCAACGCACTCGTAACTCCTCCGTTGCGGATGTCCATGGGCGGCGCCGATTGCTTACCATCAGGTAATCCGTCTGCTCGTTTGCCGACCTATTACATAAAAAAAATGTCTAGATATTTACTAACAATGTTTTAAAAAAAGCATCTCTCTGCCCAAAAGCACCAACATGGCTATTGACCCCACGATTAAAAGACGATGATAACGCACGTACAAAATTAATGACGAATGAGAAATAAGGCGTTGATAATTCTAAGTCTTTTGTAACAACAGTTGAACTTGATACTGACAATCTCAAAATAAAATCTCTATGTCCAAAAATACAAATATGAATTTTTGACGTGGTGATGATGATTTAAGTGATGTGGTGTCAATGACGAACGAAAAGAATAAATATTAAATGAGAAATATGGCGCTGTTAATAAACTTCTGTAGAAACAGATGATTATTAAAGATAACAAGATAAGATTTAAAAAAAACTGTCGTAAAATACCAATATGACTAATGACCCCACGATTAAAGTGACGCGGGGTCAATAGTCCCACTTACTTGGTCCGTTTCGTTCCATCTTGTAAAGTAGTTGAGGCACGCGTCCCTCTCCGCTGCGTAAGCGGCGCTACTTGGCATCGGCCGTACGCCTGAGTCCACGCTGGTGATTGACGTCACCTGAAGGCAAAAATACGAATATTTAAGCATCTCGGTTTAACAATTCTTTAGAGGTATGAGGAACAGAGTGGAAAGTTCCTCATCCTCCATTGAAAAAGGAGGATCCTCCGACCAGGCGAGGTGTTCGTGCCTGGTGGGCTACTGCCCGACGGTTGTTGTCGGGATTTTTGTATCAGTGCTAATTGTGTTGTAAACTCTTATAGCGCGATGTAGAAACTTGCACGTGATTGGTGCTGTTGTCAATGTTGTGCGATAGATGTCGCTACAATTCTAATAATTAAATAGACAAGGAAACATATTTTTGATGGGAGAGAAATATTAAGTGATTTCTTCCGCCAAAGGAATGGCGAGAGGGAGTGTCAGACTCTTACTGACTAACCACCTCTCCGTTGCTTCTCCTTCTCCAGGGCTAGCGCTTTATTGCCCTTGACCCACAATTCCGGATAAACATTGGCTTTATTGGGCCCCATCTTTGGGTCTCACAATCGGGTTAGGTTTTAGTAGGGCCACCTTTAATTGCCGACCGCAGACCCCGCCTACCGTGACTGGAGATCGTCGCTCGGTCCCCAACGCCCAAAGCGTCACCTACTGGTGTGGCCCGGGCGTGAGGAAAATGGACAACGAACTTAAGCCAAAGTTTCCGGAGGCCAAAACTAATTATTAATCTCAATGCAAAATTGTTTAACAGCTAATTAAAGTAACTGTTTAACGAGAGCGCTGGTTTTAAACTAAGAAAGGGACTCATTCTTGAGAATCATATATTCAAAATCATTCAAAATTATTTTCTGTTACCTATGATATTCTCTCAGTAAAAATAAGAATATACTGCCGACAAGTTTATTGGCGCAGTACTCCTAAACAACTGCACAAAATTTGATAAAACATCTTGTATAATTGTCAGGGTTTTGATAAAAGTTTTTATAAATAAAAGAAAACATCCACAAAGACAGGATAGTCGACTAAATAAGATTTTTCCAATATACTCAAACCTCATCAAGTTACTTAAAATGTAAATTCATTATAATGACTGAGCCATGACTTATCTCTATCATTCACATCTGAGATCATTAAATGTCTAATCATCTTCGGATCAAACCAAGGACTTTCCTACAAACTAACAATATACAATCAAAATAGTAATTATTTATATCGAAATCCTATTTTCGGTAATACTTTTTGTATGAACACTACCTCCATATTAGCTGGCAGCATAGAAATAGCTATGGAATTGTAAAAAATTAAACACAAAACAATTGATTAAATAGGACATGTAAAACAATTGATTAAATGAGCTGAGTCTGTAAGCACATACATTATTATTAACTATGAAAATTACTAAAATACACTGTAACAATCGCTAATATAGTAAAAACAGTATATTATTTGTTGAGAACTTTGTTTGCAATTAACTTTCTCCTTCATAGGAATCTACACTTTGGAACAAGCTACTATCTTCACTACAGGACTGATTGACAGACTGACGCACAAGTTTACTTTTTGTTAGACATTCAAAAGCGCCAATAGTGGTCATTTGACTTTGACATAACTAGAAAATGGATAAACAGACTCAGATGAAATTTAACACAAAATTAAAATGGGGTTTTTTTATTAATGAAGGTACTTGAGTCCTTATCAGGGTTGTAAAAATATACTTCCTTAAGGGCTGATTTTTCAATAGTCCGATATATGTTATTTGAGGAATAAAATTGTTGCTGTCAATGTCTTATACAAACATTCTAACGCGACAGCATCGTAATTATTCCCTAGGTAACTTTTATCTCATCATCATCATTATCATTGAAAAATCAGCCCTAAATCAAACAAAATTATTTCTTATAAAAACATTGAGTGGAAGACATCTTGTACGAAATTCATAAAAATATACCTATCGATTTAAACAGTAATTTTTTTATGTTGACCCTCTTTAGGGTTTTCTCTTGTGTTGTGTATGTGACATTGTATGTTTGTAAACACACACCCAGACCCGAAACAACAATTTGCGGATCACACAAAGTGTTGTTGCACGGCACGTTGCACGGCAGCCAGTTGCCCAGCCACCGCACCAACCGTGCAGTCAAAGAATGAATATGAAAACTGAATTTGAACATTCAGAACTACCCTTTATCAAAATCGAACAAAATATTTTCCTTAATCAAAATCGTCAATTTGTAATACAATATAGATTTTTTGTGATAACAGATATAGGTAATCCGTTCTCAAGGCCGAAACTTTCGATTATGACTAATTTTCTTTATTTATTATCAAATAATATTACAATACAATTATTTCATAAAAAGTTATAATATTGATAAGGGCATATCATAACTGTAAACATCAATAGGATCCAATGAGGCTGATGGTCAGCTGCAGTTGCATGTCAAGCGCAATTATATATATTGCAACCCCAGCCTGGACATAGATATAAGGAACAGAACGCTTTTTAGACAGTCAGAGAGAGCCATTTGACAGAAAGCCATATGATGTATCTTCTCTATACAAAAAAAACAAGTAAAATAATTGACATCATTTTTAAAGTTTTAATTTTTTTGTGAATGCTTAGATGTGCAATTTTAAACTTCTTATAATAAATTCTCCATTTTTGATCACTGTTTGTTAATGGTAAAGTCCGGTCGCGGAGCAGGAAGAAATTCGTACAATGGCCTGTTATTACCTGTCTCTGTCACTCTCGCGTAAATATGATGCGTCTCGCTCGCACAAATCCAATGACCGCGGCACTCAGGGATTGTGAACCTTTAACCTACTACTGTAAAGTCTGTTTTTGTTTGTTTGTGGTTGTGGTTTTTGGTTGGCCTTAAGTCATGACATGGCTTACTTGACATAATTTATAAATTTTTAAATTCCATCTTGGGATGCGTTAGTGATCGCTCAGTTTTCGGACAGTAATCTCAGTTATCTTAGTTTGTTGTTATTTGTTAGTTCTCTTTTGTTAGTTCTCTTTCTGTTTTGTTATTAAAATTAACAATAAAGAAATAATTTATTTAATAATTTGTATTTTTTTTCTCCTTCAAATATTATAAACTGCACTTTATACAAAAATGTTTGTGACCACTGTCAGTAGGTAAAGAGGTCATTGTACGAATTTCTTCCTGCTCCGCGACCGGACTTTAGACACCAAGACCAAAAATAATTTGAAGAATAATAAACTTCCCTCCCTTTGTTAAGATGTAATTGTTTATAACAATTCACTTTGTTATATGAGGATATAATAACACAAATCATTTATAACATAACTGATGAGAATTGTATCAAATTAAGTGCACTAGTGTTCTGCTTACACCTTCAGGCAAACAGAGCTGAAATAATTTGGGAAATCACACAATAAATTAAAACATAAGGTGACCAACATGATTACATTGGTCCACAATTTATCCTCAAGGAAAACTCTTGGTAATTTGTAACTGTTAATAAGTAGGTCAAATACCTTGGTGCATTTGTCTATGCTTAGGAATAACACAAGAATATCATTACTAAAGAAGACTTAAAAAATGAGGCATAACACTTACATGACATAAGGATAAATTTGAACTAGATTTTTGTATTATCACCTAGAAAATTTCTAACTGTATTTTTAAGTTTACTTTGTGTTAGAAGGAGATGGGATATGGATAGAAATTTTAAGTATTGTACTATCCTTTTTGCACATACTAACTTTTTATACAATTTGTGATGTTTTTTTTAAAAAAAGCTTATACAAATTATACAATATCTTTTGTCACAGATCTTCTAATGTTTATAATTTTACTGTAACTATAACTCCTAATCCAGAAAAATCAAACTTCGTATAGCTAAGTTAACAAAAACAAAATAAAAACATATTGTATACATTTTAAAACTTATGTACCTATGTAAACTTTTTAATTAAATTTAATGGCTGATAAAACTAACTACGTAATAGTGTTGTAATCTCGTTTTTAGTTAATTACTGGTAGAATATTATAAGTTATCGCTATACATACTCATTCTTTTGTAAAAACGCATACAAGTTGCGAAATATCGAAATGAGAAAGTAGCACAAATGTCTTTCACACAAATAACTCCTTTATTTCCAACTATTCCAACATTACTCAAAGGAGGTTCGTTTACATCGCTCACAAAGAAGTTTTGAACACGTAAAAACTTTTTTAACAAACAAAAAAAGAGTTTTTACTTCTTAATTTCCTGTGAAACGTGACGTTCATTCCACGTACCATTTGTGTCATGGTTGTAAATAAACAGTTCATTATCGATACGGAAGTAAAAAGAATGTATAAAATTAGACATTAAACGCAACAGACCTCGACAAATAGTACAGGAAACATACAAAAATTACAACTTAAAGATCCGCATTGCAGGACGGCTTAAAAAATTAGTACAAGACTTTCTGACAAATATATAACACGTTGCATGCATTTATCATCTTAAATAGCATTCATTAAAACGCCGAGGGGACTACTAATCCTTCGAAATCTACTTTTCTAATCAGATTGGCCATAAAAACACAAAATAGTCCAAACGAATAATGGTAAAAGTAAATATGGCGGACGAACCATCCTGACATTATGGCTTGTTCCATTTAAAGATTACTGCCTTACCTGGGGTGCTATGGTATCTTCTATCATCCTTTCTGTCTCCATTTTTGTTATTTCACAAGAAACATCAATATTAAGTCCACTAAAACACCACCAAATAATGAAACCACTATCGCTAAATACTCATCGCTCGCATGACGTCAAGCACTATTACTTTTTTCTAAAATGTGTACAACTACTGGCATAGGTACTATGTGACCATACAGCCTATTCTTAAAACTAAATCATAAAATTGGTACGGCGTCAATTATTGTTTTTATTTGTAAGTTACATTACTCCATTATAAATAAAGTAAAAAGCTTGTAAAGTTCATGGTATAAAATTAATTTTAAAGAAAATCAATCTACAAAAACCTTGTAAGTGACGCTAAGTGCAAGTGTAAAGAAACGTTTTAAAATTAATAGAGATTATCCTTGTCAGCATAGATAATACATATAATACGGCTTGTTAGTGCTACTAAAAGAAAATAGTCGATTACTGTTTGTCATCAATCTTGTATTTATCAATTTTATCAAGCCTCCGAAATTATAATTATTAGATAATGAATTTGATAAGCATTTCTAAGATTTGTTTAATGATTACTTAATGAATAAAATAATCTGAATGAATGAAGACAAGTACATTCGGTGAGATTTTAATGCTAATAAAAAGATTTTTGTAACTCTGCCTGGTGACCAATTTACCAAATATAATTGGTCTTCTTTAACGGGATAACGGCTAATTTAGAATTTTAGTCATTCGCTTTATAGGACAAAGGTTTTAAAAACAAGGATTTGTAAATAACTTTTGCTATAATAAAAAGCAAAGTGTCAATCTGAACCCAGAAATCCGAATTTCCTTCCTGGTAGGTATGTCAAAGTCAAAGGATTTATTATTGTCATCGCAAGCAAACTTACGCGAAAGGAAATAGATTATTATAATTTGAATAAGTGCATTGTTTAATCAATAATGTGGATTTTTGCTCTCTATTTAGTAAAAACAACATACAGATAATTTGAAAACGCAGTAAATATCAGTATATTCATGAAAGAGATCTATCGAAACGTACGCAATCAGAATTCTAAGTAGTATTGTATTTAGTCTTCTAATTTTACCAAACAGGTCAGTATTTACTCTGTTATTTATCTTAGTTTATATGTAATGGTCACGACTGACTATGTAATGCCAACTTTGAGCGGTAAACTTGCGTTATTTTTTAATAAATTTAAAATATTCTCCGCTTGTGTATGTTACGGTATTTTTTACGATATGCGAAGAATCTTCGGATGTTTTCATAGTCCGTTCTGTTTGATCGATAGCTGTTTACACAAGTATTATTAAATTGACGTTTCCTTGAACTAGTCTTTTTGAAAAAGTAGGCAAAACATTTATCTAAGTACATACAATAGTTTTCAACATACTATAATCTTATTTCATATTATTATCTGAAGTGTTTACTTGGATGTCTATGTCAAAATAATTTGTTTTTTTTTTGTAGAAGAATGTATGTAGAACCTTTTTTTAAAATACTGTTTAAATTTTTCATTGGTTTAAGTTAAATATTTGTTTTGTTATACTATTTTGTTTGAAGATGTTATTTAGATCTTGTTTAACTTGATGTCTTGTGTCTTGTTGTGAGGACAGACACCGTAAAGATATCTGTAGTTCTTGTGTGTTCAGTCTTATTGATAGAAACATAGATAGTTGTGGGCAGTGCTATGTAGAGCAAAAAGGCTGTCAAGTTGTGTCTACCTAACCTGCAAGTATCTTGAAAAATAATTCATTTATTTAGAAATTTTAAAGAAGACTTAGATAAGGTGGGTAGTTTCTAGATCAAAAATAATTAATTTTGATTTTTCAATAAAATACAATGAATTAACGAAATATTATCATACTTACTTGATAATAATACAATATACTTAACGTTATGGTGTCATATGTTACAATCTCATACAAATTTCGTCGAAAAGTATTGAATTTGACTACCTAGTTGAAAACTACCGAATTAAGCTGCAATGTAGTAAATTTTTTTATGATGTTATTATTTATTGATTTTGTGTTTACAAAGCGGTTACAAAGATTCACCCCTACATACAAACTTACAAACTTACAAATTTTACCTCTTTATAATATTAGTATAGATGGGATATGGAATTGAAAAAGTGTATCAGTGACATTGTAAAGACAACTTTTTTGAAAAAGAGTTTCTTGTTTACTCTCCTCCATATTTTTATGGATCTACACTATGAGACAAGCACCCAGCTTCACCAACAGACAGACTGACACATAAAACTAAGATTGCAATAATTTACTCCGGTCCCAGCCAGAAACAATGTAGTTAAGGTTTTAGTCAGTAAGAGTCAGACACTCCCTCTCACCCCACTTATGGGAGAAGTCATTTGATCATTTACCAACCATAAATAAGTTCCTGTGCTGTCTCCCATCCACATTTCAAGTATATAATGTACTAGCTCTTCCCTTGCGGTTTCACCCGCTGCTCAGCTCCATTTGATCGTAGCGTGATGTTTTATAGCCTATAGCACTCAGGAACATTGTAGCTGTCTATCAGTGAAAGAATTTTGGAATCCGACCAGCGGTTCCAAAGATTACCCCCTACATACAAACTTACAAATTTTACCTCTTTATAATATTAGTATAGATGTATTTGTATCACCTTTCTAGGTCTGAAAGATGCTCTCTGAAGATGGTATGGAGAACAGACGAGGGCCTCCCGGAGTCAACTCCAGGTCCTTGAGTGCTGCTCATTCTGCAGCTGATCTGGAGGTAAGCATGATGATGTTTGTTTTTTTCGGAGCAGTCAGATCACCTGATGGTAAGTGAACTGCGCCGACCATCGTCTCCTGCGGCACCACAGGAGTCACAGGCGCGTTGCCAGCGTTTTAAGGAGTACATGTTTTCCTCCATGAAATGTGATAATGTTTCATGTGAGTTTGAAGGTCGTATCGGTTCGGAATTACGGCCATCGAATGATCATTCCAAAATGGCGCAGTTGGTTGGTTGGCTAGGAACAAACCGAACATTCTGCGTAAGATTTGCGCTGAAAAACACGTAGCGAGGCTACATCCCTACGCAGTGCCAATGAGTCCAATCGGTCCATGATAAAAGGGTTGTCAACGATTCGAACATCTCGTCGCGGAGGGAGAGCTGGTACTAGGCTGCCCCTGCCAGTTGAGCACACAGTATTCCACATGGGACCAAACCTGCATAATGAGGCACTGCGGCATACTAAGAACTAAAATAAATATAAAATAAAAATTTATAAACACCCCCCGACACAAAAAGCTAGCTTTTACTTTTTAAAGGTAGCTTAATACCTTTAAAAAGTATAATAACACAAAAAAACTTAATTGAAATCGTTTAATCCGTTCAGGAGATATGATGCCACATACACACAGGCAGACACGTCAAAGTTTTTGTTTTTTGTGACGTACAAGCCATAACCTTTCATTTGATACCCCACTTGAGCAAATTTGCAGACATTCGGATTTTCTTCCCCACTTTAACCCCCATAACTTATAAAAGGCTCAATCGACTTTCATCAAACATGACTAAGAACACTCGCCCGTAAAACACCTGTAATACAAAAAAACTAAATTGAAATCGGTTCATTCGTTCAGGAGCTATGATGCCACAGACAGACAGACACGTCAAACTTATAACACCCCTCTTTTTGCGTCGGGGGTTAAAAATATTTTTTCGTTCGTTTTATAAAATCTAAATAAAGTGTCTGTTAATCCATACACAGATACAGACAGACATACTTTTCATGTGGTAGGTCGGCAAACGAGCAGACGGATTTCCTGATGGTAAGCAATCAGCGCTGCTCATGGATACCCGCAACATCAAAGGAATAAGGGTTGTTATAGTAAGCGATGACCCGGAGTAAAATACTGCTACGACCTATTGAGCACATCTGGCTTCTTCGAGGCTAACTTAGCCTTACCCTCTAGATGACCGCGGAACTGGACTTCGCTCGAAATGTCGAAACCAAATATCTCAATACCGGCCGAACCTTTTAGGGGGGTGTTCTCAAACGGAGTAGCTTTTTAGCAGTGAACACGCATACCTGTGCCTTTGTGATGTTAAATTGGGTAGTTTCCTAAGTCAAAAATAAATTAATTCGACGTTTCAATACAATAAAATATTGAAAAATAACTATACTTTTATTCATCGATCCATCGATACACTAAGTTATAGATATTTGTAGCTAATTATTGAGAAATAAGTAAACTATTTGACGCAAAAATACTATGACGTCATAACTCAGTGATTCATGCAAATTTCATAGAACAGTATCGTTTTTGTCATTTGGATAAAAGTATTGAATTTGAGTAGTTAGTAACTACCGTATTGGTGTACTCCAATCTGAGATTCTTTCTTAAGAGACTCGATTTGAAACACAAGACTGTTTCGCCTCTCGATTACGTTTTCAAATGTATAATACCTATATTTTATATAAGAAATAAGGTTATCTTCAAATCCCCTATCTCCTATGGTATAACGAATGTCCACGTGCGAGTTCCAGCCGGGGTTGCGGGGTAAGCGCAATGAGGCACCGCGACCTCGGCACAGAGCAGGAGAAGGAACAGGGGGGTTTTTAGTCAGTAAGAGTCTGACACTCCTTCCCGCCCGGCCCTGGGCGGGAGAAGTCATTTGATGATTTTCCCCTCACAAAAAAAAAAAAAAACGTGCGTGTTCAAGTGTGGGAGTGCCATGCTTTGGCACGAATAGGTCGGCTCGACCGGAGTGATACCACGGCTTCACAGAAAACCGGCGTGAAACAACCACAACGTTGTTACCGAAGGCCCAATCCTTCCCCACTCCCAATTCCTAAATCTCCAAATCCCTAATCCCCAAAAGGCCGGCAACGCACTCGTAATTGCTCTGTTGTTGCGGATGCCCATGGTCAGCGCTGATTGCTTACCATCAGGTAATCCGTCCGCTCGTTTGCCGACTTATCACATAAAAAACCTATTAAATAAATAATCATAATTATAATTGAGATTTTTTTTTTACAGGTACTAAGAGAAATTGAGAATGTGTACTTCCGACCACCGTCGGAGTTCGATGCGGGTCGATACGTACTGGAACACGCGCCGGCCACCTCCTGCGATGAAATAGAACAAATGTTCACGAAGCTAAAACGTCAGCAACAGGTTTGATAATAATACCTACTAAAAATATTATTTAAATGTTAGGAAAAATATTTAGTTTTAATTCCGTGTCAAAAATCCAGGCTTGTTGCAGGATGCAATCCCACTCCTATTCAATCATGCAGCTAAGGAAAAACATGGCACGCAATCAAACCTATACTCGACACATGTTTCGCCCCTCCACAGGGCATCCTCAGGAGATGTTGACTCGACGAGCTCTCGGCTGCGAATATGAATGATTGCATAGGAGTAGGATTGCATCCTGCAACAAGCCTGGATTTTTGTTGCGGAATTAAAACTAAATATTTTATTTTAAGCGTCAGTGAAGCTAGGTGTTAGTTCCAAATTGTAGATTTGAATGGAGAAGAACGAGCAAGAAATCTTTAAAAAAATCTATTTCCAATGTTAAATTTCTTCCACAGGTAGTCTCCGGAAAAGCCCTCCACTTAATCTCCCAACAAAGAGATAATTGTTATAGGGAGTTCAAAGAAATACAAAACATTCGCGAACAACTCTCAGCAACATTGGAAACCTGCCAAAAGGCCCGAGTTCAACTCAGAGCCGCATCCAACCACCTAACGATATCCACATTTGTGATTCTCGCAAATTTTCGAAAGAGACAAATCATTCGGTCCGTTCTCAAGTCTTTAGAGTTACTCAGAAGTTTGCGCAGTGTCGAAAAAGATGTAGCCGATTTGCTAGTTAAAAAAGAATACTTTGAAGCCATAGACTTGATTCTTAAAAGCAAGAAAGCTGCTAGTCTTCATAAGGAGTACACTTGCATATCCGATCTTGCGTCCCGTTTGCAAGACACCCTGGATATGACAGAAGAAAAATTAGACACAGTCTTAGCAAGCCTCTGCTACAATTTCGATGAAGTTATCTTTAGGAAATTGCGAAAAACTTACGCTTTGCTAGGCAAAACTCAAGCTGCTATGGAGCAATTGCACATGCATTACTCTTCTGCCGTAAACAAATCCGCTATAGAGGCGGTCAAAAATTTCTTAGGAGACATTTCTGATTTGAAATTCAAAGAAATGTGCCAGTCCGTTCAAGCGAATAAAGCTCCTATCTGCTTGTTGAATTTGTGCGAAAATCTCTTTTTAATCATGAGGAGTTATTACCTGTTAGTCGAGTGGCATTCGAAATACGATGAAGAAGAATCGATTCCAATATCGAGTAATGTATTTGAAATCGAGAAGAATGTTAGCAGAGAGTATATAAGGCAGAAATTAAAAGCTGGACTCGTTAGGATCTGGAACGATGTCCAAGCAAAAGTGTCGACATTTTTGAGGAGTTCTGGCTTAGAAGAATACCCGTTTGAGAAATTTATACAAATGTTAGGAGTGTTAAGAAAACTTACTCAAGTAGCTGAAGTTTTTTGCGGTGATAAATCAGATCTGTTACAAGACTTTATTAAGACCCAAAGTGTTTTATACATAAAGAATTATCACAAAGGACGGATGGAGGAATTGAAGTTGTTTCTAGAAAATGAAGGATGGGAACAGTGTCCCGTTAAATCAACGTTCAATCTACTCTATTTGCAAGAGTTCAAACAGTTCAAAAAGTACCTGAATGTTAGAACTGATACATCGCTTTTGAAGACCCAATCGGATGGTGCTTCCTCAGTCCATTCTCAAGAAGACAGTGTTTATATTGCAAAATATTTCAAACAAAATTCACATCACACTCCGTTCGAGATCTTCCGCAACGAAAATATAACGAATGATGATATATTCGGCCTTGAACCGGAATTGGTGAGTGATGATTCCGAGGATGATGAGCCAGATGAGTTGAAGAGGGATTTCGTGGATGAAAATGATCGGCCGGAACCGAATCAAAGTCCTAGTCGAGTTACTGATAGCGTTATCGTCACAAACACTACTCTCTCAGTTTTAAGACACTGCGGTCAATATCTGCAAATTTGTCGCTATTTACCGCAGATTTCGCTAGAAGTTGTAATGCTAATGAACCAACTTTTCGATTACTATTTCTTCACTGTACACCTATTTTTCACCGCCGATTTGGACGTCGCATCTTCTACTCTCTACAGTCCAAAATTAAACTCTGTATTAAAGAGGATAAAGAACAATATTGATACGGAGAATACTGGTGAGGTTGACGGCAAAATCCCATGTCCAGACCCGCCTCAACATTTAAATATGACTTCCGAAGAAAATTTGCACGGTCTCCCTGAGAGGATAGTGGCGGTTGAGAGCGTTATTTTCCTGTCAAAGCAATATGAGATCTTGCAACCGTATTTAGAGTCCATAGTTGCGCCGCATCAGAGGATGATTTTGGAACATTTTAAAGATAATACCTTAGCTGTTGTTCAAGATCTGAGAGTGCCTGTTTACATGTGTTCGGCGTCTAAAGCGGTTGACGCAAGACAAGCACTTATAGCGATGTCCCAGATCAAATGGGACGTTAAAAGCGTGGCTGTAGAACATAGCGCGTACGTTGACATGATTATAAGGAAAATACAAGTATTCGCGCTCCGTCTAGAGAATATAGCGACAAAAATAACATTAAATATAGATATTTTAAACGCTATCTGGAGTATGGTGTCGAAATTTATAGTTCACCTCCTTGTTGAAGGCTTTTCGAACGCGACAAAATGTTCTAATGGCGGTCGTGGGCTTATGCAATTAGATTATCGACAGTTATTCCTGAAATTGGAAAAGATATCAGGATTAAGGCCTGTGCCGTATCAAGATTACGTCGATAGCTACGTAAAAGCCTATTACCTCCCTCGAAAAAGCTTAGAAGAATTTGTCTTAAAAAGAGTTGAGTATTCAAATAAGCACCTTCTGGCTTTAATAACCTGTGCCTGCGAAAATAAAAAAGATAGACAAGCGTTGTCTGTGATCATTGAGAGTAGAGATGCGACTGCGTAGTGTTGCCAGTGGAAATGTATTTTTTTTTTCAGCTGGCAATTTCGGGTATTGATAAGCCTTGTTTTCTAGTATAAGCTGAGATGATTATTCAACGTTTAAGTATACTGTTATTGGTAAAGCACAAATATCAATTTCCATACTTTTTGTCAGAGCCTAGGTAGGATGCTATAATCAACAGTCAAGCTTACAAACACTCGACTAGTGAATTAAAAACAAAAATATTTTCAAAATAAAAATGTACTTAATTATAATAGTAAAATTCGTACAAATTGTGATAATTAAATAAATTGAAAATTGTATTTAAAAAAAATCATGAACAAACAAATATAAATATATGGACATTTTCAACGTTACGCCATTCTGCTTAGTGGCTGTATGTTGTAGCGTGATTTTTTATTGTCTATGAATTTCTTAAAAAAAAGTTGATGAATATACATGAATACAATAAGCAATGTTATTATAAGTAAAATGGTATAGACAGGTTACCTAAACAAAATTCGATATTCAAAAACGACACACTGATACACACATGAATAATTCGTACGTTTAGACGTCAAAGTGAGATGGCATGATTCAATAATCGCGAGTGAAAAAGAGACAAATATGAAAAAGTGTGGCTAGTTAGCCACATTTTAATGTGTCACTTGCTGAGCGCTTGTAACCTATCTACACCTTTTTACTTATAATATCATTGTTTTATATGGTGAAAAATAAATTATTTTGACTTACTTTTCGATGCTATAGAATATCAAAGAAAAAACCCTTAATTAACTGATTTTATTACTTATATAGGGTGACTGGTAATTAGTGTCCAATATTTAAACATGTGATTGTACTCATGATATCAAACAACTTTCCCAAAGAAACCTTTTTTCTATACTCGTTAGTTTTATTATTATTATATACTATAGAAAGATTACTGTGCAAAGTTCAAACGAGGTCGCGCGGGGCCTCGCCTCTAACAGCTGATCGGGCGACGCACGGCGGGCACGCGAAGTTTGTAATAAGTAGTAAAAAAAAAATCTAATGAACAGCGTTGTGTTTCGCCGTGTGAGTGAGGTTACCGGAGGCCCAATCCCTCGCCTTCCCATATCCCTTCCCAATCCTTATATCCGCAACCCTTATCTCTCTCTCTCGACTCTCGACTCTATCGACCTCTTAGGAATTAGTGTTTTGGAGATTAAGGGATTGGGGAGGGATCGGAGGAGGGGAAGGATTGGGCCTCCGGTAACCTCACTCACACGACGAAACACAACGCTGTGGTTGTTTCACGCCGGTTTTCTGTGAGGCCGTGGTATCACTCCGGTCGAGCCGACCCATTCGTGCCGAAGCATGGCTCTTCCACACTTAACGTTTGCCGACTTATACCATAAAAAATGTGTATAGAAAAAAAGTTTCTTAGAAAAAGTTGTTTGATATCATGAGTACAGTCACGTGTTTAAATATCGATCACTAATTACCAGTTAACTTTATACTAAATACTAGTGTATGAGATTATAATAAATGTATAAAATATATAAGGTAATAAAATATTTTTAAACAATCAGCTCAGTTACTCAAGAAAATAAAGATTGATTTAAAACAGAGGCAGTAGCTATTGTTATATTCAATTTTATGGTAAGTACGAAGCCATATCTTGTGGAACCTGTTTTGGTTGGAAAAAATCCTTATGGAGACCCACCGCCCCCGGGGAAGGGCGAAGGGTACTGTCAAAATACGACAAGCCCGCCGCAATCTCAAAACCGCTGCAACTCCTGTGCACCAGGATCTACAGTAGATACAACCATGAAAACACCGGAACACTGAAGTCCGCCGCGTCCCAGGGACATGAATGACTGTCTTGGATCCCGCAATGAAATAAATCAGAAGATATTATTTGAGGAGAAGAAAAAAAACGAAATAGTTTCCACTTCCCTTGGTAAATTTAATGCAGGAGACAGAATGACTTAAGTCTTAAAGGCACAAAAGAGTCTGTATAACTGGGAAGGGTACTGTCAGACTTTTACTGACTAAAAACCAACCCGGTGTTCCTTATATACCCATGTGTCGAAGGGGCGGGTATCGCCAAAGCATTTACCGCAACTCCCCGACCAGGACTCCAGAACGACAGCCGGGGTTGCGGGGTAAGCGCAATGAGGGACCGCGGCCTCGGCCTAAAGCAGGAGAAGGAATGGGGGGGATATTTATAGTGAGTAAGAGTCTGACAATCTCTCCCGCCCGACCAAGGTTGGGATAAGTCATTTGATGATTTTCCCCTCACGAAAAAAGGACTCCACAAAGAGACGCGCGCGGAACACGGCGCCGCCTCGAGGCCTGCTGCTGGTCGGACGAAGACGCCCCGAGTCTGTCTCCATATCTTGTGTTATCATAATCAACCTATGTCTACTCTCTGTACTAAATCAATATTTATTTTCTTGTCTATAAGTAAACTAGCTATACTCGCACGGTTACACCCGCTGCTCGGTTCCTATAGACGGTAGCGTGATGATTTATAGCCTAAAGCCTTCCTCGATAAACGGAATAACGAACACAAAAGGAATTATTGAATTCGAACCAGTAATTCCTGATATCAGCGCGTTCAAACAAACAAACAAACTCTTAAGCTTTATAATATTATAGTATAGATATCAATGTATGTATGTTTGTATATAGGTCAATTCGTAAATCTCAATAAAACAAAAGACAATTAGTTTTAGGTTTAATTGTAACTTTATTGTTAATACTTTAATTAGGTATATGAAAAAAGTCTTATATTATTATATGAATTAAAGACATGTTCATTATTTGTTGGTTTTATTTTTAATCTTTTGACCGCCATGGTTGCCTTAAAACTGCAAACGAATAGTACCTAAGCTATTTCCCCTATGTCGAGTATTGGCTATGTGCGCGACAGTGGCGACGCGTAGCGTTTACAACATTTCCGGAAGCTGTCAAATAATTACAATGTAAACATTATAATTTTCTCTGCAAATAAGAATAAAACCAAGGATAAAATATTATTGTTGACATTATTTAAGTGCAATATATTCAATAGTTTTACTGTAAAATAAATATAATAATAAAAACCGACAGCTGATCGTCCGCATTTGTTTCCAATTTCTGCCGTGTTGTGCGCTGCGGTCGTTATCTGTCCGCCACTACTCGCTTTGCACATAGCCAATAATGATAGCCGACCAGAAAATGTAAGTACATATTATAAGTGTATGGACGACCATATTGATCAAATGGTTTTTTGTAAGCGCTTTCTGTTCCGAAATAGAAAGCGCTTCAACCATAGATATAAGTATATTTCTGTGGTTTCAACCCTTTGATCGATAACTGGACACTAGACTCAACCAAGCACTATTCATTCAACTCAACAATATTTATAAAAGATAATAAATGCATTAAAAAAAATATTACACTTTTAATTATTGATTTCACGTTACACTTAATTAATATTTGTAGGTATTAGCTAAAAAAATACATTAGGTATCAATATTTACAAAAAGTTGTACATAATTAACTACTGAGTCATTAAAAATACGATTATGGCGATCATTTTAAGCACAATGTGTCTGACATACTACAAATATTGTTGCGGGGTCGGGACTGATTCCTTTTTTTTTTGAAAAAACATTGCCCCACATTAGGATTTTCTCCTGTGTCGTGGGTGCGGCAACAAACATAAAATTTCACATACAAATCACACCCAGACTTACGGAACAACAATTTGTGAATCACACAAAGAGTTGAGAGAGCGGCAGCCAGTTTCCCAGCCACTGCGGCAGTCTTTGTAAATTTACACCTAAGTTTATAAACGAATCTACATATTATGATACATGCTTTAAAGTTGTTAGAGAATTGTTGTTTCATAAAATGGCGACATAAAAGCTAAGAAACAAGCTGGCTAGTTTTGAAAATCAGCGCAATGAATTTGAGTCTTTGTTCCCCGGGCCAATGCATCAAAAATGGGCCCAATTTGCACTGTGATGACGTTGGTACCTACCTACTTTTGTATTTTTTATTTATAATTTGATTTGTATGTAGGTATATTGTTTGTAAAGTTCTCCAAGTTTCAAAACGGAAAAGGAAGGATCCTCCCATCAGGCGATGTGATCGTGCCTGGTGCGCTACTACCCACCTGTTCTTCGTTTGGATTTTCTATCCATGTTTTGGCGCGCAAACTCGGCTTGCGTAGGTATAGTGCGGCCGACGTATTTTGGCGAGTCTGAAGTTAGCCGTTTGTCTGCGCAATGGATCTTTTAGGAACAAAATTGTGTACTACGCAGCTAATCGGCTAACTTCAAACTCGCCAAGATACGTCGGCCGCACTGTAATTTAGGAAGTGTGAGACGCCATCACTTATTTTTCACCGTTGATCTTCTATGCCGCGGTCTAAGGAAATAATGTGAATTTCCTTCCTTTATTTATTCAATAAAATCTCCCCCGAACATCAAGTTTAGGTAAATAATTGACTTTTCTAACGAATTGTTCGTAATCGCAACAGAAACTAAACGTGCCGTCATTCGACCGCCATCTTAACCAATTGAAATTGTTATAATAATCATCCTTGTCACACGTGTTATTGCAGAAAACTAAACTGTCTGTGACAGTGTCATTGTAGAAGGACGAATTTATTGTTATAAACACCGATGCCCGCTTCTGCGTAGGTTCGTACACCAACTGTGAAAAAAAGAAAGTTTGGTTATTATTTTAAGGTTGTTTTCTATGAGAAAATCTCGCCAAAACCGCTGCACAACTCCTGTGCACCAGGATCTAGAGTAGATACAACCATGAAAACACCGGAACACTGAAGTCCGCAGCGTCACAGGGACATGAATGACTGTCTTGGATCCCGCAACGAAATTAAATCAGAAGATATTATTTGAGTAGAAGGAAAAAATATTATTTTGAGGTTATGTGATAGATGCCAAATAGAGCCAGCAGCATGGGGTGTTTCAATTCAACCTGGGTTGTGGACAAAAAGCAATGATGTACCGGGGCCTAACTCTGTGCAGGAGAAGGAGCATGGTTCCGCCTGGCATCGAAGCTGAACTGGGCCTATTTGTCCAACGCTGAGACACACATCACTGTTTTTTTTTAATTATTTTTGTTTTGATTATATATTTCTTTCTTTTGTTTGTAACTATCTGGCCCATCCTCTCGCCCCACTCAGGGCGGTTTAAGTCAATGGATGATTCTCCCCTCAAAAATACAGTCAAAATGGGGCGTTGAGACAGATTTCTAGGTTGGGCATAGGTGCTTTTTTAGGATATATTCGATCGCAAAATTCGTAAAAGCGTGAACACTAATAGATAACAAGGATCTTCCCAGATTTCCAATTTTATCACGGAAAAATAGTAATAAAAAAAAAATAACTTAGTCTTAACGCTCAAATCTAGTATTATAAAAATAAATCTCCTAATCCCTAATCTCCAAAAGGCCTGCAATACACTTGTAACTGCTCCATATTGTGGGTTGTCAATACGCGACACCGATTGCTTACCATCAGGTAATCCGTCTGATCGTTTGCCGTTCTATCCCAAACAATAAGAAATGAAATCACACTCTGACCAGCTTACCTTATAAAAGTACATGGGGACGGATACATCAAAATTATTATTCAGATCTGCATGCAGGAAGATCTCCTTCATTCGACCTTCTTTGTCAGGTAAAGTCATTACACCATGAGTCCCAGTGAACACCATCACTGGAGTACCCAACTCGTGGACTCGACGTCTTAAACCCTGGAAAGAGAAACAGCATCTTATGTAGATATATATTTTGGGGACAAGGGTTGCGGATATTTAAAGATTAGGGGGATTTGGCCTCCGGTAACCTCATTCACACGGTAAAACACGACACTGGTTTTTTCCGGTCGAGCCGACCCATTCGTGCCGAAGCTTAGCTCTTCCACATTAAAATCTTGTAAATATGGAATTAAAAAAATCTTAGGAATATGGAAGGAATTGGAAGATTTAGAGTTCTCAAAAAAAGATGATCTGTCCAGTCAACTGATAGTAGCGAGGTTCACTGTCCAGTGACACACGTACGCTGGTATCGTCATGAGCTAATGTTGACATGTAAACAGCGACTCATGTAGTGTAGAGATTGTCCAGTCAACTGATGGTAGCGAGGTTCACTGTCCAGTGACACACGTATGCTGGTATAGTTATGAACTAATGTTGACATGTAAACAGCGACTCATGTTGTGTAGAGATTGTCCAGTCAACTGATGGTAGCGAGGTTCACTGTCCAGTGACACACGTACGCTGGTATCGTCATGAGCTTATGTTGACATGTAAACAGCGACTCATGTAGTGTAGAGATTGTCCAGTCAACTGATGGTAGCGAGGTTCACTGTCCAGCGACACACGTACGCTGGTATCGTCATAAGCTAATGTTGACATGTAAACAGCGACTCATGTAGTGTAGAGATTGTCCAGTCAACTGATGGTAGCGAGGTTCACTGTCCAGTGACACACGTACGCTAGTATCGTCATGAGCTAATGTTGTCATGTAAACAGCGACTCATGTAGTGTAGAGATTGTCCAGTCAACTGATGGTAGCGAGGTTCACTGTCCAGTGACACACGTACGCTGATATCGTCATGAGCTAATGTTGACATGTAAACAGCGACTCATGTAGTGTAGAGATTGTCCAGTCAACTGATGGTAGCGAGGTTCACTGTCCAGTGACACACGTACGCTGGTATCGTCATGAGCTAATGTTGACATGTAAACAGCGACTCATGTAGTGTAGAGATTGTCCAGTCAACTGATGGTAGCGAGGTTCACTGTCCAGTGACACACGTACGCTGGTATCGTCATGAGCTAATGTTGACATGTAAACAGCGACTCATGTAGTGTAGAGATTGTCCAGTCAACTGATGGTAGCGAGGTTCACTGTCCAGTGACACACGTACGCTGTATCGTCATGAGCTAATGTTGACATGTAAACAGCGACTCATGTAGTGTAGAGATTGTCCAGTCAACTGATGGTAGCGAGGTTCACTGTCCAGTGACACACGTACGCTGGTATCGTCATGAGCTAATGTTGACATGTAAACAGCGACTCATGTAGTGTAGAGATTGTCCAGTCAACTGATGGTAGCGAGGTTCACTGTCCAGTGACACACGTACGCTGGTATCGTCATGAGCTAATGTTGACATGTAAACAGCGACTCATGTAGTGTAGAGATTGTCCAGTCAACTGATGGTAGCGAGGTTCACTGTCCAGTGACACACGTACGCTGGTATCGTCATGAGCTAATGTTGACATGTAAACAGCGACTCATGTAGTGTAGAGATTGTCCAGTCAACTGATGGTAGCGAGGTTCACTGTCCAGTGACACACGTACGCTGGTATCGTCATGAGCTAATGTTGTCATGTAAACAGCGACTCATGTAGTGTAGAGATTGTCCAGTCAACTGATGGTAGCGAGGTTCACTGTCCAGTGACACACGTACGCTGGTATCGTCATGAGCAAATGTTGTCATGTAAACAGCGACTCATGTAGTGTAGAGATTGTCCAGTCAACTGATGGTAGCGAGGTTCACTGTCCAGTGACACGCGTACGCTGGTATCGTCATGAGCTAATGTTGACATGTAAACAGCGAGTCCTATAGAATACCATACCTCCTCTAACGCAGCCCAGTCGCCCGCGTTCCCCCTCATCCATTGAGGAGCAGTGTTCACGTAGTGGAAGGTCGCTCTAATGAGGGCGCTGGTCGCATAGTCCGCGTTAGCCGCAAGGTGACCTCGCGAAAGAAACTGGAAAGATATAAGATAAGGTATAGATAAAAAACTTATTTCAATAAAGATGATTAAAAGGTTGTCTTAACCGGAGTGATACCACGGACTCACAGAAAACCGGCGTGAAACACCTACAGCATTGAGTAGGAGGTTACCGGAGGTCCAATCTCGCCCCCTCCCCTAATCCCTTTTAATGTATTTTTTATGTGATAGGACGATAAACGAGCAGCTGGATAACCTGATGGTAAGCAATTCGCGCCGTCCATGGACAATCGCAACAACATTAGGGGTTTGGATATTTTGGGATTGCGAATTATACAACGTTCTTTCACGCCGGTTTTTTGGAGCCATTTGTACGGAAGCATGGCTCTTCCACAGCTTTAACTGTGGGAGAGCCATGCTTCGTCACGAATGGGTCGGCTTGACCAGAGTGATGCTGGCTTCACAGAATACCGACGCGAAACAACCCACAGCGATATGTTTCGCCGTGTGAGTGAGGTTACCGGAGGCCCAATCCCTCCCCCTCCCCTATCCCTTCCCGATCCTTATATCCCAAACCCCTATCCCCAAAAGGCCGGCAACGCACTCGTAACTCCTTTGGTGTTGCGGGTGTCCATGAGCGGCGTCGATTGCTTACCATCAGGTAATCCGTCTGCTCAAAAAAGCAAGCTAGTTAGTCTTGCTAATTTATCTAATCTTGTTTGTTCAAAAATCCTTTTTCATGTATATATAATATATATTCTATTTTAAAATATACCCGCTTACCAACCTGATTTTTACTCAAGTAATAACTCCCCATGTTCGGTCCCAAAATGGCGTCCAGAGCCTTTACCTGGCTATTCATTTTGTATATTTCATTCATACGGGTCTTCCCAAAGAGATTTCCTTCTGTAAAAACAGTTTCAGAATTATGAGATTTTAATGAAACTTTTATGTAAAAAACCAGATCTATGTATTTCAAGACGTAATATCTATTTGATTAATATTAATAATGAAGAGGAATTCAAGGATCGGTACTGATTGACAAAGGCGGTTGTCAATACGAGTATTTTTGCAGATTTTTTTCAAAAGACTGAGTAGGTAAATCTGCTATTTATTTAATATGAAAACATTACAAATTTTCTTTCAGACATCCTTTATACGTAATGTTAGGCAGTCATCCATGACTGACCACGTCACCTGATCGGAAGACCCTCATTTTTTCCGTTACTAGGGAACATCGCAAAATCAGTGTTCCCCAAAGCGAAAACTCTCTTTTTATATTTTTCTGGGACACTGTGTCCTTAATTGCTTCGCACCAACCGTATGATTTCTCTGCACTACCCTATGGTTGACTGTTAAAGAATGCCTTAAGGCACCAAGTCCGCCATTCACACCCGGTTTCCGATAGGCCGATCAATGTTAAAATCAATTTAATCTCTTGTCAAGTCATCTGATTGGTTGAATGAATTATCAACAACCAATCAGATGACTAAGTCGTGGTGGCCCGGAGGTTAAGGAACCCGCTTCTCATACATGAAGTGTGGGTTCGAAACCTGGCAAGTACCAATGTGACTTTTTCCGAGTTATATGTACTTACTATAATTATTTAGACACCACTGACATACGGTGAAGGTTAACATCGTGAGGAAACCTGGACTTATAATTTCTAATTATAAGTTTGAAATCGCCAACCCGCATTGAGCAAGCGTGGTGATTAATGCTCAAACCTTCTCCGTGTGAGAAGAGGCCTTTGCTCAGCAGTGGGTACTTATAGGCTCGTGATGATGATGATGATGAATCAGATGACTTGACAAGAGATTTAACAGGAGATTAGTTAATTTTAGCGTTGACAAGCCTTTCAGAAACTGGGCGTCAGACTGTTTTGTGTGAAGAAGAATAAATAAATAGGTAAATAAAACTAAAGGGGTTTAAGTACATATCTTAGATTTTTTTTTTTGAGTGGAAAGTCATCAAATGACATATTATTCCGCCCTGGGTGGGGCGGGAGAGAGTGTCAGACTCTTACTGACTAAAAACCCCCCGTTCCTTCTCCTGCTCTAGGGCGAGGTCGCGGTGCCTCATTGCGCTTACTCCGCAACCCCGGCTGTACATCAGCCTTATAGGGCCCCGTCTGTGGTGGTCTATTGGCTCTTTGAGGCGTGCGCGGAACGCTTCGCGCGTCTGCTTCTGGTCGGGCGGCGAGCTATCCTTACTCGCCGTGCAGACCCGCGCTAACAGTGGCCGGAGATCGTCTCTCGAAGTATCAGACGGAGAGCTTACCAGTAAACTGTGGCCTCTTCAATCCATTTTGTCGGAACACACTGTTCGGAGTTAATCGATGTTGAACAAAATGAGTTCGCACTAGGTTTTTGTCGAAGCACGCTTCGTATATCGGGTGGAAAGTGCTTCGAACTTGGTAACCAACTCTGGAATGTAAAGTGGAATAACTGAATTAGTGGTTTCTGGATGAAATTCCTATCCAGTGACGGTAGAGTTGTCTCCTTGGGAATAGTTTCCTCACGCAATCCGCCTTTTTCTTTTGGGACATGACTGCTTCGCAGCAAGAGGAGATGGCTCCATATCATGGCGAGAGGAATTAAGGCCAGAGAGGCTCGCAAGAGTTCGCTGACGCCCATCGCTTACCATCAGTTAATCAATCTGTCCTTTGCCGTCCCTATCACATAAAAACTAAATCTTCGTCCAATATCCATTTCCCTTTCTCAAAAAATAAAAGACACACTCACTGGTACATCTGCGTCCGTCCATTGTAGCAAGTCTCTTTCTTCTCCAGAGAAGTGAACCAGGGATGTGAGTTACAGCGAATGTCCTTGAAACTGAGGATCTTTCGGTCCACTCTGAATGTGTTGTTTATTATGCAATGTGCCTCCTGAAACAGAAGAATTCATAATAGACCATCGACGGGGCAAGATCGGGCTTAAAGACAGAAGACAAAGACGGGGCTTAACAGGGCTGATGTTCCATCTGCGGGGTATGCGCAATAATGTACGGCAACCTCGGCCTGGAGCAATGAAGGAACGAGGCATTTTTTAGACAGTAAGAGTATGACACTCCCTTTCGCCATACCCTGGGCGAGAGGCTCTTCATCCTCAAAAGTTTAGGCAGAGGTGCGCTCGACAAAAATCCCAAATATACGAAACTAGCTACTCTCACGCGGTATCAGTTGCTGTTCGTCTTCTATTACTCGTAGCGTGATGTTTTATAGCCTATAGCCATCTTCGACAAATGGCCTATCCAACACAAAAAGAATTTTTCAACTCTCACCAGTAGTTCCGAAGATTAGCGTGTTCAAAGACGTTTTACTTTAATAATGAGATACAGTCTGATGTTACGGGTATCCATTGGCGTCACTGATTGCTTACCATCAGATCCTGTCCACTCGTTTGCCATTGTACCCCATAAAAAAGGCCCAAACTCTTCCCAAAACGATCGGCTACTCTCATTATACATTAACCTATTTTATCTTTTGACTTTTGCTGTTTTGATTAAGACTTTACTAGTGCCATTTTTAGATACTGTAGTAGGTAGTTTTTTTGCATTGTTATCATTATGAGTTTTAATAAATTATTATATGTAATTGATATCGTGGAAAAAATCGAATAATTTGATATTTGTCGACAGAAAACTGTTGAAGGCAAATCGTCCGGTAACGGAGGTCACCGATGACCACCATGGCGCTTAACGTGCAACAGTTGTACGCCTAATGGCCAAGCATAGAGATCCAACAAAAATATAATATCTGACACTCGTGTGTATCTGTACTTATGTTTACAAATAAATAAATCTGAATCTGAATTACTCCCTGGTGTTGAGGTTATCCAAGTGAAAAACGAATCACTTAACTGCCATCTACTGATCTAGTCCCTCGTTTTCCAATCCAGAATCCCATAAAATGAGAAAGAGACTTACCAGAGTATCATAACTTGTAGTTTGATTAGCAAGCACAATCTTCCTCTTCGGGCAGGAAACAAGAACTGTCTCAGATCTGTTGAAGGTTACATCCCCTTTCTTGGTGTTGGTCTCCAAAAACCTTCCATTCCTTATAAACACTGGTCCTATACTGTTAAAATCTTTATTCAACGATAGTATGCATTCTGTAATAGAAAGAAAAGAAAATTGAGAAGAGAAGGTACCTACTAAAACAATTCCTCTGCCCACCCTGGAGCAAGAGAAGGATCATTTTCATCTCCATCATATACCTATATATGGTTGGCAGTGAACAACTGTGCGATTTTCGCGAAACTTTCTGCCTCGCACAGCAAAACTTTGGTATGATCTTTCGCCGGCGGTGTTTCAGAACCGATACGACCTTCAAACCTTCAAGAAACGTACCTACTCCTTTTAAACAGGCCGAAAACACACCTGTGACTCCTCTGGTGATGCAGATGTCCATGGGCAGAGCTGTAGGCCTACCATGAAGTGTTAAAGCGTGAATCTTCCGGGCGAGAAAGAGAGATATTTTCCCTGTTCCTGCGCAATCCCGGCTGAACATCAGCCCTATAGGGCCCCGTCTGTGGTGGTCTATTGGGTCTTTGAGGCGCGCGCGGAGCACTACGCGCCGTACGCTCGGGTCTGGTCGGGCGGCGAGTTGCCCTTACTCGCCGTCCGCTGACCCGCGCTTACGGCAGCCGGAGATCGTCCCTTGGAGAAAGAGGGATGGAGCTTTAAAATTACTATAGCTCCATCCCTCTTTCTCGCCCGAAATTATCCGTCTCTCTGCTCGTTTGCCTCCTATTCCATAAAAAAGTAGTGGTAGTATTTTAGTCAGTAAAACTCTGACACTCCCTCTTGCCCCACCCAGGGTGGTATAAAGCATTGGATTATTGATGTTCCCCATTAAGTAAAAACCCAAACCTCGAAAGTCTGTTTAGTAGTTCGCTTATGAAGCCTCGGGTTGTCCATTGACGATACAGACTGTTTGCCATCAGTATTTTGCTTGCTCGTTTACAGGACTAGTTTCTTATAACAAACTCATTGTTTTTGCTGATAATATTACCAGCAGGTCTGGTCCTACCAGAGGAACAGAGGACCAGAAGACCAGAGAATTTTTTTTTGTGATAGGATAAAAAACGAGCTTTTTTAATGCCTAATGGTAAGCAATCAGCGTCGCCCATAGACACCCGTAAAATCAGGGGAGTTACGAGTATGTTTCCGGCGTTTTCAGGTTTCAACTTTGTGGTTCTAGAGATTTAGTGATTGGGAAAGGATGGGGGAGGTAAAGGATTGGGTCTTCAGTAACCTCCACTCAAACGGCGCAACACAACACAACTTCTAGGTAAGAAACTATTTATGTAATTCCAAAATAGTTTCCAAAAACTGCCCTCAGAAAATAATGGCGAATATTTTTTAAGTCCTCTAGAAATATCTCGTGAGATAGTGTAATAGTGCAAGAATCTTTTAAATCGGTCCAGCAGTTTCGGAGCCTAAACAGCGCAAACACACAAATTAACAATTTTTTATAATATGAGGTTAAATGAATGTTTATTAACATAATTAGGAACTGCCTAATTAGTACAAGTATTTATGTTAATTTGTTGTAACTATGCAGTGAATTTTAAAACTAAATTACTTACTTAGTTACAATTTGAAACACAAGAATTTTACTAAAATTAGCTATTAGGTAGCGTTTTTACAATTAGGAATAGTTTGTAGTACAACGATCCGCCCCGGCTTCGCACGGGTGCTATGCTGATACTGAATTTCTCCACTATTTAATAAACCTTATCTTTATATATAAAAATGGATCGCAAAATGTGTTGGTAAGCGCATAACTCAACAACGCCTGGAATTTTGCTAATTTTTTTTTGTGTTTGTTATTGTCAGGAGATGGTTCTTATCAATAAATAAAATATTAGAAAAGTCGAGAGGAAGATTAGGCAAAAGTAGCTTTTAAAAGTACCCTTTGATAGCGAGATAGTTGGACCCGTGCGAAGCGGGGGCGGGCCGCTAGTTATACGTATAGATAAACTTTCTACTTTAATCACACTATCCATTAAAAAACCGCATCAAAATCCGTAACGTAGTTTTAAAGATTTAAGCATACATAGGGATATAGGGACAGAGGAAGCGACTTTGTTTTATACTATTTAGTGGTATATATATTGCCCTATCCTTTTTAGGGTTGTAAGAGCCGACTAAGAAACTACAGAGACCTACAGAGACCAGCACCGGTCTCTGATAAACCTGAACCATTTAAAATGATCTCCAACCCGTTTGTTGAAGTTCGTTAAGTTTTAGTCAGTAAGAGACACTCCCTCTCACCTAAACCTGCGAGAGAATTAATTTGATGATATTGTCGCCTTAAAAAAAGCCGTTTATCTATCTATAACTGCCTCTTCTTTAGAGGGGCCATTAAGGTCCAGCTTTTAGGTTTATTTATTGTAAGGGAGAAAATGATCAAATTACCGCTCTCGCCCTGTCGAAGTCGAGAGGGAGTATCAGACTCTTACTGATAAACAACCTCTCCGTTCCTTTTCCTGCTCTAGGCCGAGGCCGCGGTATCTTATTGCGCTTACCCCACAACCCCGGCTGAACATCAGCGCTATAGGGTCCCGTCTGTGGTGGTCTATTGGCTCTTTGAGACGCGCGTGGAACGCCATACGCCCGTGACTGGTTCTGCTATGTTATTTTCAAAAGTTAATTTGCGAAATCACTTCAGTAATCATGTTTATTTAAAGTTTCGTACTCTCAAATGGAGTGTAATCTACATTGGCGCCACCATATGAATAACGAAGTGAAAGGAACTAAAACAAGTGAGTATTTTGACGTTTGTGTACAGGCGAGATGAGAAGCGAAGTGGTGTGTGACTTCCAAGATGAGTTTCGAGGCGATTTACCATTAATTATAGAATAGCGAGCGATCTTTACTCGCTGTCCACGGATCCGCACAAGAATTTAAGTATCAACACACACCTACCTATAATATGTTAGTACATTTTCCGAATTCCTAACAACGTTGAGTCAGATCAAACAAAAAAATTACGTCAAACATGATCATATAACTACACCTATGCGTCTATGTATGCATATGCATTATAAAAAATATGTATTTTATACGACATATTTGTATGATTAATTATGTCAGCGATCCATCAAGGATATTAGGATTCCGTGCACAAGATTTTGTATCTCACAATTAGGGTTGCCACCCGTACTTTATAATAAAGTATTGTACTCTATTTCATATAATTGTACTCAATACTTTATGAGAACAATAAAGTACACGAAAATACTTTATTTTGTATAATTTGATTTTTTTGGGATTTTGAAAAGTCTATGATGAATTTAATAAAGACTGTAAAAATGTTTTAGTAGATATACTTATTTAATGAAAACTACAAAAAGCAATAAAAAATATGTTTTGAAATATAAATACCTATAATAATAGGTAAAAAAAAAAGTACATGGGATCAAGATAAAGTACAATTTATTTTTCTTTTTTTTTATGTACTTTATTAATATATATTACTTTATTATATATTAATATGATACAATGTACTTAATTATATATTATTAACTGCAAAAAAGGTGGCCACCCTACTCACAATACTATATACATATGTAGGTATGTAGAACTACTGAACGGATCTGAAGGAAATTTGGCACAGAGATAGATTATAGTCTGGAATAACACAGATACTACTTTTTCCCTGGTGTTGCTCCGGGAAAAAAAAGTCGTGGTGGCCCGGAGGTTTTGTTTTGTGAGGGGAAAATCATCAAATGACTTCTCCCGCCCCGGGCCGGGCGGGAGGGAGTGTCAGACTCTTACTGACTAAAAACCCCCCTGTTCCTTCTCTTACTCTTGGCCGAGGTCGCGGTGCCTCATTGCGCTTAACCCGCAACCCCGGCTGGTGGCCCGGAGGTTAAGGAGCCCGCTTCTCATGCATGAATGTGTGGATTCGAAACCTGGCAAGTACCAATGTGACCTTTTCTAAGTTATATGTACTTTCTATAATTATTTAGACACCACTGACATACGATGAAGGTAAACATCGTGAGGAAACCTGGACTTATAATTTCTAATTATAAGTTTGAAATCGCATTGAGCAAGCGTGGTGATTAATGCTCTAACCTTCTCCGTGTGAGAAGAGGCCTTTGCTCAGCAGTGGGCACTTATAGGCTGATGATGATGATGGTGATCCGGGGGTCTGTGGTTTAAGCCGCTGACTGAAACCACAGTAGGTATGTACCTACGCAGATAAAACCATACGTAGTTAGCTACGTTTCACACTTGACCAGGGTTTTTCACAGCTGACGTAACTAATATCTATACTACATCTACACATACAAATGAAATTGGAATGTATGTTTGTAATATTAAAATATATTTTTTTACTACACACATGTAGTGTATGTTTATGTGTGTGGGAGATTTATTTTTAATATAGATATTATGGTTTTATATGTTGAAATTATTTGTTTTTCAATGTGGATCAAACTAAAATTGTATAAAATAAAATATTTACAATAATACATATACAAAGTAAAATTGTAATGTTTATTTGTTCCGGCTAATCTCTGGAATGGCTGGACCGATTTTAATCGGACATTTATTGGTAGGTAGCTTTTGTAATAACAAGTAACTCAAAGAAGCCTTTCTTTCATTTTAGAAAAAATCGCGCTGTAGCATTAAACAAATTTTACGCAGACGAAGTCGCGAAATATAAACTAGTCTATAAGTATATATGTATAAAAATCAATTAAATTTTTCGTTGTAATGTTATAACTCAACAATGCCTTTACCGATTTGGATAATTTTGCTCTTAAAATTATTCGTGGAAATCCAAAAAAGGTTATTACGAAGAGAAAATTAAAAAAAAAAATTGGCAAAGCGTAAAATCGACATACACGCGTGCGGACCCGCGGGCGACCGCTAGTCCAAACAAATATTATAAATGCGAAAATAACTCTTTCTGTCTGTCTTTTTTTCACGCCTAAACTACTAAACCTATTTTGGTGTGTTGTTACAGACATAGTCTGGAACTCAAGAAAGGACATAGGATAGTTTTTATACCAAAAATATGCAGGAAGTCACTATTCCACGCGAACGAAGTCGCGGGCAAAAGCTAGTTTAGTGTAAACCGCAATGTTGACTCTTTCAATTTTGTTATCTCAAACAATCGATTTTCTTTTATACATAATCAAACTATTGTTTGTTAGATTAAAATCGACCTTGTTGCAATCAGGCTACGGTAGATTTCATGTTGAATGTTTGTTAAGGATTTTCCTTTGTTTTTTTTTATTACGTATGTACAGGGTCAAGTCGTAAATTCCTGTTATTTAGAAAGAATTAGGTAGATATGAGATTATGACAATATATTTAATATAATATATAATTAGGCGTAAATGACATTTATAAAAATAATTTTCAAGATGATTTTTTAAAAGGTTTTCTAGTTTTTTTTCAAATTTACAATAAAGTAATTTTTACATGAAAAAAACTATTTCTTTTTTTATTTAAAATCCTCAATAAATCCACACTAACATAAAAGAATGTAGTTAAAATGATGAAAACGTAATACAATGCCTATTTACTTATTTTATAAATCTCAAATTTACATCAGAAACATATAATTTTAGATACATGACATATATTCATAATGGTAAAATTCAGTTTCCTACTAATTTTATTATCGGCCTATCACATTCATTTTTTAGTAGTTAACCAATTAACTCTCTTATCTGGCATCATTGCATATCTCAATATTTTAATGGTTTGTACTTGGTATCGCTTCGAATAATTAAAGTGCTCATTATAGGCTCATCGATTCACAAAAAATGCAAACGAAAACAAAATAAAAACGCTACCTTTAAGTAGGTAAACGACAGCATAAAACACATAGCAAACAAAATAAACGAAAAAAAAATTACACCATAAACATTCCCGCCATATTTTGACACTTGACATTTAAAACGTTTCAACATTTTTTAAAATAAAATTTTCACTTTTCACTCACCGGAATCACATGTTGATAACAAATTGATTATTATGATAGTTATGGCTGTGAACACGCGCCTGAATTCGTCAGACATCTTCACGCTACTGGCAGTAATGATTGGAAATCGAGAGTAAGAGCGCGCGCAAACTTGTAGACTTGTAGAGTCGATCGACTTTGGCGACTAATCGCAGTACACGTTATATGTAGCTATGTTACCATGTTACGCCGTTATGTGTTAGGAAACGCCCGGGTGTCGTCATTTTAAGACAACCCAGAGGATATGTTGGTGCATTCGGCATAAACTGATCTGCTGAGGACTCAGGGAAGTAACCGGTGGCGGCGAACTCTCGCGTCCGGCATTAGCCGAGACCATGGCGCGGAGCAAGAGGGACTGGGAAGCTATCTCCTCTTTCTGCGAAGAAGTGATGCTGGCAAAGGAGAACGCCGAGCGCCTCAGGGAGCAATCCTCCTCACGCCCCAGCCGCTGTAGTAGGCGACACTCTGTGCGTCGGGGATCAAGCTATTATCTCCGACCCACATAAGTTAAAGAGCGTACAGTGCGAAGCGTTTCGCGCGTACCTCAAAGAAAAAAGCTTACCACTATAGCCGGGGCGCTACTGGGCCGATTTTCAGCCGGGGTATCGGGGCAAGCGCAATAAGGTATCGCATCCTCAGACTAGAGCAGGAGAACGAACCGGGGTGTTTTAGTCAGTAAGAGTCTGACACTCTCTCTTGGCTCACCCTAGGCGAGAGGGAGTACCTATAGTAACTCATTTGATGAATCTCCATAAAAAAAAACTAATCGTACATGTGGGTGCAAACGTCCCATCATCACAATCACACATACCTATAGTTTATAGTCTGTAAGATATGCGTTGGTAGGTACTACTGCCTTCGTAACCACTAGTGCAAGAATACTCTCATTTTTCACCTCACGGACTTATTTTTAATTAACTAACCAGAGAACTATACACCCTCTCGCCCAGGGTGAGCCGAGAGGGAGTATCAGACTCTTACTGACTAAAACCCCCCCCCCCGTTCCTTCTCCTGCTCTAAGCCGAGGCTCCCGGAGTCCCGATACCCCGGCTGAAAATCGGCCCAGTGCCAGAAGGGCCCTGGGCCAATGGGCTGTGGTGGTTTGAGGTACGAGCGAAACGCTTCGCACTGTACGCCCTTTAACTTATGTGGGTCGGAGATAATCGCTTGATCCCCGACGCCCAGAGCAAGGTAATAATATCTACAAGTATTTCAACTTCATAGAAACGGCCGAAACGCGAACTATACCTACGCGCCCGATGTCGGGACGCAGACAGACGCGGCTGTACCGCAGTGACGAACGGACGGTGTGTTGTCTTTTATTTAGAAATCAGCTCGAGTACATTATTTAATATGACGAATAGGAAATATTGTGCTGTTATTATGTTTGGTTGCATGAATTAATTACGCAGCGCCACTCTATGAGGACCGATGACAGTGCATTGCCCCACATCCTGTTTACTGCATTAAACTGCTGATGCATCTATGACGTCTATCGATTTCGTAAATTAATTTTAATACAGAATATTGTAAGAACAACATTCCATATTCCGACTTAGATGTGGAACATTGTTCACTAGGGTTAATTTGTAATATTAATTTCTATTCAATAAATTAATTTTTATAAGATCATTTCGGTTTTTTTTCGATCACTCTGCTGCCGCAAACGTAATTGCTGTACCTTCAGTGAAAAGTGATATAAGTGGAAAATCATAGTTACGAGTAATTTAAGGTTAAAGATTTAAAAAAATCTCGTTATTTTTCTAACGTTCTGAAATAAAAAGCGATATGTGGTACGTGTAGATAATATTATAAAGATTATAAAGAGCTTGGTTTAAATAAATTATTTTGCACGGAATTTAAGTAATTAGTAAAAATAGCCAGTTATATCACCGTACACTTTAGTTTTCTTTGCTTATTTTTGTGTATTTAAATGTATAATGCAATGAATTATTTTACACATTTAGTTATCATTTTGTGTAAAATGTTATAAGGCTTGTGTTTTGGCATATTTTGCGTGCAAATAGTTGTTGTGAGAAAAAGTGGTAAAGCTAATATGATCATTTTGATTATCAGCAACCTTTTTTCATTGTTTTATTTAAAATTCCTACGTAAATATTCAATTGTACCCCTAAACACCAATGATTAATGCTACAAGCTAAAATTTATTTTGATACATTTTGTTTATATCGAAGTGTTTATTGATACAAGTAATAACTATTTTCAAACGGTTTTGTTACAAAAATAGGTAAAAGTATGTTTATAGCAAAATAAAATAATAGCTAAATTAAAAAAGCGTTTATTTAACAAACAATTCTTTTACTTTTGTATCTTGAACAGTCTTAAATCGTATGTAATCAGTCTCCAAAAATCAAACATCTTATATTAATATAAATTTCTTATAAAAAATACATAACTTTTTATCATTATTCTGGAACGGTCTTAAATCGTATGAAATCAGTCTCAAAAATCAATATAATTTTCTTATAAAAAGAAAATAACTTTTCATAATTTTTATAACTAATCTTGAACAGGCTTTAATCTTATGAAATCAGTCTCCAAAAATTAAACATCAGATATTAATATAATTAAAGCCTTCAACCAGCTGCGGCGCTCTGGCTGAGGCACCGGCGAAGAAGGGGGCGAAAGCGCCTACGCCGGCGAAAGCGCCGAAGGCGGCACCTGCGGCTCTGACAGCGCAAGCTCCAACTTCAGCTTCGGCGCCGATGAGTCGCAGGCGCAGGGGTGCAGAGCTCCGCTAGAGCTCCAACCAGAGCGCCGCCCACCCCATCGGAGTTGTGTGCCGATGGCGAGTGGCAGGTGGCCGGGGAAGCGAGGAGGGTCGCTAAGGAGGCGAGGAAGCGCCGCAAGAAAGAGCAGCGGCAACGGCGGCAGCAGCGGCGCAAGGACAAGCGCGCCGCGGCAATGCTCCTCGCCCCCAAATCTTCGGCTGTAGTGATCACACTACAGCCGGATGCGGCTAATAAGGGGGTGACGTACGGGGACGTACTTACTTAAAAAGTTGAAGGTGGCGGTATCTCCTGCGGAGTTTGGGGCACCCGACGGGTTCGCAGTGAGGGTCACTGCCACTGGAGCCCGTCTCTTAGAGGTCCCCGGCGCGGCCAGCGGGTCGTCCGCTGACGCCCTAGCCGAGAAGCTCAGGGCGTGCCTTGCAGCGGACGAGCCTCGCGTGTCCAGGCCCACTAAATGCCTGGAGCTAAGTATCATGGGCCTGGACGACTCTGTGACGGAGAATGAGGTGGCGGCCGCTGTTGCCAGGAAGGGGGAGTGTCCTGTGGACCAGGTGAAGGCAGACACCATCCGCCCGGACAATACGGGGCTGCGGACTGTGGTAGTCAGCTGCCCCGTCACAGCGGCAAAAAAGTTGTCGGAGGGCAAAAGACTCCTGGTGGGCTGGGTCTCGGCGCAGGTGAAGCTGCTTGAGCCCCGGCCTCTGAGGTGCTATCGTTGCCTCATTGGTTACCATGTGGGTGCCAAATGCACCTCGGAGGTAGACCGTAGCGGCCGCTGCTTCCGCTGCACTGCGTAGTATGTGCTGCGGCTGGTAAGCCGGCCGATCACCGGGTTGGGGGCAAAACCTGCTCCCCTTCGCCAAGCCCAGGGGTAAAGTTAGGCCCTCTGCCGCCTCTACTGCCCCCGCCGTTCCCGTTGATACAGACACAGTCGCCACCGCCTCCGCGACTGCTGCTGTCGCTGGTGCCAGAGAGGAGGTCGTGATGGACTGCCAATAATGGCTCCATTACGCCTCCTGCAGGCGAACATCAACCATTGCGCCGCTGCTCAGGATCTCCTGCTCCAGAGCATGGCGCAGTGGTCGATCAATGTTGCTGTGGTCTCCGAGCCGTACTTCGTTCCACCCAGGGAACACTGGTTGTCAGACCTGGACGGCTCGGTGACCATCATCTCGTCGGCCGCCACCGGTACCCCAACCCCCGAAGGGCCTCAGCGAGGCAGGGGTTGCGTCGCGGCTCGGTTCGGAGAAATCGCCGTGGTGGGCGTGTACTTCTTTCCGAACCGAAATCTCGTCGAGTTCCACAACTCCCTCAGGGAATTAGTCACCGTCGTCGTCGGGTTCCGTCCCCTCCCCGTGCTGGTCCTCGGGGACTTCAATGGCAAGAATTTGGCATGGGGTTCCCGGGTCACTGATGTCCGGGGAAGGATGGTCGAAGACTGGGCTCTGGAGACAGGCCTAGTCGTGCTGAAACGGGGTTCTGTCCCCACGTGCATACGGATGCGGGGCGAGTCAGTGGGGGACATTTCGATTGCTAGCCCAGCTCTGTCATCACGCGTTGGCGACTGGCGCGTCATGGAGGAGGTGGAGACGTTTTCGGACCACCCGTATATACGGTTCGACGTTTCCGCCGAGTCCGCAGACCCGCCAGTCAGACAGGCCCCGATTGGCCCGCGTTGGGCGCTTAGGCAACTGGACCGGGAGCTCTTTCTGGAAGCCGCAGTCGTGCAGGCCTGGGTGATACCACCGGTCAGTCCTGCCGACGCCATGTCCAGGGTGTGCGACGTGGCGATGCCCCGGATCCGGCCGTGCCAACGCAAGCGCTAGGTGTATTGGTGGTCGCAGGAGCTGGCTGCTCTGCGTGGTGAGTGCACTGCAGCGCGACGCCGATATACCAGGCACCGAAGGCTCCGTATCCGCCCTCTGGACGCTGAAACCAGAGAGGCGGAGCTGTACGAGGAGTACAGGGCGGCGAAGGCCACCCTAAGAGTGGAGATCCGGCGGGCCAAAGATCGGGCCCGCGAGGAGATGTTGGAGACTCTGAACAGAGACCCGTGGGGACGCCCCTACCGCATGGTGCGTGATAAGCTCCGCACCTGGGCGCCCCCACTGACTCAGAGTCTCCGGCCGGAGGTCGTGAACGAAGTGCTTGGGGCGCTATTCCCCCGACCACAGATAGGTTACACGCCTCCCACTATGTCTCCGCCCACTGCAGTGCCCAATGCGGGCTACAACGACGACGACGGTGAACCCGTTCCGGAAGTGACCGAGGTAGATTTGAGAGTGGCGGTGCGCCGGCTCCAAGAATACCGCCCCAGGACCTGACGGGCTGCATGCCAAGGTTTGGGTCCTGGCCTCGGAGGCTCT